CTGAGAAGAAGACAGGAAAATGTAGGAAAGTTTGGAACTCCCTAGAAACGAGTTGAATGACTTTGATCAAAATGCTGATAGCAATATGGACAATAAAGTCCATGCGGAGGTGGTCTCAGAAGGAAATGAGGAACTTGTTGGGAACCAGAGCAAAGGTGATTCTTGTTATATTTTACTAAAGAGAGTGGTGGTATTTTGCCCTGCCCTAGAGATCTGTGGAACTTTGAACTTGACAGATGATTTAGGGTATCTGGTAGAAGACATTTCTATTTTTTTTTTTTTTTTAGAAGACATTTCTAAACAGCAAAGCATTCAAGAGGTGACTTGGGTGCTGTTAAAGGCATTCAGTGTTATAAGGGAAGTAGAGCATAAAAGTTAGGAAAATTTGCAGCCTGACAATGCAATAGAAAAGAAAATACCATTTTCTGAGGAGAAATTCAAGCTTGCTGCAGAATTTGCAAAAGTAATGAGGAGCAGAATGTTAATCCCCAAGACAATGGGGAAATGTCTCCAGGACATGTCAGAGGTCTTCATGGCAGCCCCTCCCATTACAGGTCCAGATGCCTAGGAGAAAAAAGTGGTTTCATGGACTGGGACCAGGGTCCTTGTGCTGCGTGCAGCCTAGGGACTTGGTGCTGTGTCCCAGCTGTGCCAGATATGACTAAAAGGGGCCAAGGTACAACTCAGGCTGTTGCTTCAGAGGGTGGAAGCCCCAAGCATTGGCAACTTCCGCAGGGTGCAAGTTGAGCCTGCAAGTGCACAGAAGTCAAGAATCAGGATTTGGGAGCCTCTGCCTAGATTTCAGAGAATGTATGGAAATGCATGGATGCCCAGAGAGAAGTTTGCTGCAGGGGTGGGGCCCTCATGGAGAACCTCTGCTAGGCAGTGTGGAAGGCAAATGTGGGGTCAGAGTCCCCACAAAGAATTCCTACTGGGGCACAGCCTAGTGGAGCTGTGAGAAGAGGGCCACCATCCTCAAGACCCCAGAATGGTAGATCCACTGACAGCTTATACCATGTGCCTGGAAAAGCCTCAGACACTCCATACCAGCCCATGAAAGCAGCCAGGAGGGAGGCTGTACCCTGCAAAGCCACAGGGGTAGAGCTGCCCAAGACCATGGGAACCCACCTTTTGCATCAGCGTGATCCAGATGCAAGACATGGAGTCAAAAGAGATCATTTTGGAGTTTTAAGATTTGACTGCCCTGCTGGATTTCAGACTTGCATAGGGCCTGTAGTCCCCTTGTTTTGGCCAATTTCTCCCTCTTGGAATGACTATATTTACACAATGCCTGTACCCCCACTGTGTCTAGGAAACTAACTTGCTTTTGATTTTACAGGCTCATAGATGGAAGAGACTTGCCTTATCTTAGATGAGACATCAGACTGTGGACTCTTGAGTTAATGCTGAAATGCGTTAAGACTTTGGGGGACTATTGGGAAGGCATGATTGGTTTTGAATTGTGAGGACATGAGATTTGGGAGGGGCCAGGGGTAGAATGATATGGTTTGGCTGTGTCTCCACCCAAATCTCATCTCGAATGGTAACTCATGGGGGCAGGTCTTTCCTGTGCTGTCCTCATGATAGTGAATAAGTTTCACAAGATCTGATGGTTTTAAAAATGGTAGTTTCCCCACACAAGCTCTCTCTTTTTTGTGTGCCACCATACACGTGAGATGTGACTTGCTTCTCCTTGCCTTCCGCCATGATTATGAGGCCTCCCCAGCTCTGTGGAACTGTTAAGTCCATTTAACTTCTTTTTCTTCCCAGTCTCTGGTATGATCTTAATTAGCAGCATGAAAGTGGACTAATACAGCTGTCACAAGTATTTAGGGGCTTCATTTATACATTTTTCTAATCAAATGGCCATCATACTTCCAATCTGGGCTGAACTCTTGAGATATCAACAGATGAAAGCAAAAAGCTTTTCAAATTCAACAAAGAACTCTAAATCTTCTCATCCAGACAAGCACTGAGTTGAGAGCCTAGCATTTGAGAGTAAGACATGGAAGGTATAATTTGGGTCTAAAAAAATCCTAAGTGCAAGTGTTTTAAATCAACTGCCTCTATCAAGAAAGCATTTCAGTAGAATCCCTGCAACACATGAAATTTGGTAGACCTGCATTCTTGATAAATTCCCTCCAAAATATACCCCCTGAAGTAGATGAATGATCCACTTGGAATTAGGTTATGCTGGTTCTGGACCCTACATACACTACAATGCCATTCTCTATAAATGTTTACTGAATGAACTGATGAATGAATGAGTGATATAACAGATTTATACTATCAAGGTAGGATTAAAGTTTTATGTTTTTCTTGTATAATTTTAATAGAAATGCCATGTTCTATGCAATAAGTCTACACCATTCTCAGATGGCAAAATATCTGGACTTTTTTCTAACTTTGTGTTATTGGCTGTTCACCTACATGTCTTCCCTGCTCCATTATAAACTCTGACGATCTTATTCACTTTGCATCCTCGACCCAATGCCTAGTCCAGTACAAGGCCCATAAGCAGATACTCAAAAACAAAAAGGGAAGGGAAATACTGAATGGAATTAGTTGGGAGTTGCTTTTTAAACTTCAAATTTTTGATGCAGAATATGTCTGAATGTACAAAGGCAGGCTGGCATAAATTCCACTCCAGAAGCTAAGAAGGAACACCCATTCCCACTTCCCTCCTTTTGCAGCATAGGCCGATCATGGCCAGACAGACCATTCTAGCAAGGACTGTGATCTGGAGGAAATGATTCAAAGGTGCAGGGTGACTTAGAGTTTATTTGAGTCATCGGTGGCAGAATTGTGAATTTGCAGCACAGCAGCTGGTCTCCAGAGACAGTGGTCACATGGCAGCTGCCTGAGCCTGTTCCCTCAGCAGGAAGCTAGCCTCATCTTGACCATTACCATCATGGCTAGCATAGCCTGGCTCTCCAGATTTCTGTCAATTCATGAGCCACTGAAGTCAACTAAAGAGTAAACTTCAAGGCAACTAAAAAGTTCAAAAACTACTAGTACTCATTTCTTTAAAGGACTTATCACCACTTACCCATTTTTCCCATTAAATCAGTCAAATAATGGATATGGTTTTCCAACCACACCTCTATCTCATATTTTCCTAGCCCTTCTGTGAAATAAAATAATCTAAAATAAAAAATATCTGTATGTCTATTTGCATTTTATATATCTAAAGATATCTAAAATATTATATTGAAGTTTCAATTTCCAACTATGTTGAGAAAATGGAGCAAATGGAGTACATATTTTTTAAAAAATCCAGTGTGCACACAATAGCCAAAGTTGGGAATAATCCAGATGTCTGAATGGATAAACAAAATGTATATCCATTTAATGGCATATTATTCAGTCACAAGCAGGAAGTAAGTACTGGTACATGCTACAAGACAGATGATTGAAAATGTGCTAAGTGAAAGAAACCAGATGAAAAGGCTACATGTTGTATATTTCCATTTATATTAAAATATCCAGAATAGGCCAATTTATAGAGGCAGAAAGCAGATTAGTGGTTACCTGGGCCTGTGGGTATGAGAAAATGGAAAGTAACTGCCTAGTGAGTACATAGTTTCCTTTTGGGATAATAAAAGTGTTCTAAAACAAATAGTGGTGATGGTTGCACAACATTGTGAATAAAATAAATGCCACTGAATTATACACTTTAAAGTGGTTAAATGGTGAATTTTATGTATGTGCATTTTAACACAATAAAAACTCTAATATGCAAATATTTAGAAGAAACATAAAGAAGCATATTTAAAAACAGAAACCTATCTATTTACAATAGAACAGCTATGTTCAGGGTGGCTTGTCAAAAGAACTTTCTGGTTGTAAAATCTTTGCAGTTCCAACCTTATACTTTGCAAATAAAACCTTGTATATATAACGTTTTATCGAGAAGAAAGATGCTTCATAACCATATGCAAAAGATTTTTCATTTATCTCTGAACACAATCATATCCTATTTCATTTAGACACAATAATGAAGTTGTAAAAATGAAGTCTAATTTAATAGATCTTGGCAAATACAATTTTCCACTCTCGTAAAGTTTAAGGTTCCTTTATTATAAATGAGCATCGGTTATTCAATTCCTAAAGATGTGGGTCTTTTCAGGGGTGAAGTGGACTCAAGATGTTGGGAGCTACATATTAGTAATTCTTTGAACTAGGATAACAAAAATGTGCTGCTAGTTGCTATCCCATAACTGAATGACTCATTATTGTAAAGCCGTTTCAATTTTGTTCAGTGGGTCTTAGGAAATGGCATTTACTCAATTTTTTATTTAGTCTAGAATTTTAGAACTCCTTTGTCTTCAATTTCTCTAATTTCTACATTTCCCCCAAATCTCAAATATATCGATGGTAAAAGAAATACTTACATATTCTAAGACCCCAAAAATTATTGCTTTCCATCCCCAATGGAACTGAAAAAGAAAAACCTCACAAAATAGCAAGTATCTAACTTTCAAAGGATCCATTTCAGTACATCTGTATCAAAGCCAGAGTGAATCTTTTCATTCTACTGAGAAGCGAATATACTGAACTATTTCTTGATTTACATTTACTGCCTTACTTAGAGTAAACAGAAATGCCAGCAACTTCAACTTCTTTAAAAATGTGTTGCTTAAGAAGAAATTTTCAATAACCTCTTGGGGGAAAATTACAAGATTTTTTCATCCAGATTTCTCAAAGGAAATGATCATAATGCTTTTATAAATAATGAAAGCATTTCGTTTCAGAAGTACTTAAAATACAATTACTTCATTTACTTTTAGAGACTCCATCAAAGTACGTTTCCAGCGCACACTCCTCAGGGCAGGTGCCTGTAATTAAATGTGGTCCTCTCACCTGATTCATTTCCTGGGTTTTGAAGTACTCTTTGTTCGAGAGCACTAACTCTCTATGCATCCATAAGGAAGATATTACTGCCAAGTTCCATGAAGCTTTCTGAGAAATTCACCAGTGCTACAAACTACTGACCTTACCCTAAACCCATCTGCTTGCAGGCCAACTGACTGAACATCTCCTGCCAGCCATCTGCACACACATGGTGTTCTGTGGCAGCTCTGTGAACCATCAGAAAGGAAGAGGAGTTCACATTTATAGAGAGGGTCACTAGGGAAAGAAAAGACAGGGGAAACCTTAATTAAAAACATTTCTTCCCATGGAAGCACATAACTTTACATGCCTCTGCTTCATTGGCATACATTCATTTTTATTTTTTTTCATTAACCATTTGATGTGTATTTACCCTGTGCAAATCACTGCCTTCAGTGTGCTAGAGGGCTAAAAAAAAATGAATTAGAAATGTTCTCTACCCTCAAAGAACCGTAGACTCTAATGAAAGAGACAGGCAGTTCTTAACTTTTCTTGATGAGTCAGAAGACAGCCAGAGCCAGGCCTCATCCCATGAGTTAACCCGGATTTGCATAATTACAAGAAGTGAGTTGTAAATCCATTTCTATCATTTCCTTCAAGAAAGCATATGAGAATGCAAGTGCGTGAGAGGGATGCAAATTTAGGATTAATGTGGTATATGTGTTAATTCCTATTATATAAAGGAGCATCCTCTGTACTTAACCAGCCTCAGAGCACTTATGAAACGCTGCACAATTGATGACAACACACATGAGAATCATGATTTGGCTGGTTGATGCAAAGGACTGAGAAAGAGCTGAGTGAATGGAAGGAGTGAGGAGTGCGGGATGAGGAAATTAATCAAACTCAAGATCACAAACTGCAACACTGGAGGTGCTGGTAGGAGATGTCTTTAATTCCTGTCTGTGTAAGGAGCTAGATAGTTAGAAGTCTTGGACTTAGAGAGTGTAGGGAAGGCAGAGGGGCCACTTGACTATTCTATTCTAGTAGGTATAGATGACAAAAGATTGGCAGACTATCATTAAATTTATTGAAGTTGGGTTTTAATGAATAATTTTTAAATCCTATTCCAGCAATTATATGATTACAACATTTTGAACAGAAAATGTTTTTCCCTATAATATAAATATTTCAAATAGTGAAGTAGCTTGGTGGGGAAATTTTCTGTGAGTTGGAAATAACACACATAGATCACCACTATCAGCTTTTATAACAGTAAAACAAAATAGATGAACTTGGCCAGTAAAATCCGGGAAGTAATTTAGGATTCATTTAGCTTCAGTGGCTGACAGGCCTGAGAGAGTACAACAGATGGCAGAAACAAGTAGCTCACCACAGTCCCATTCATCTGAACTGTCTGAGCAGTCGGCTTCACCGTCACACCACAGGTTACGTGACACACATGCATGGTTTGCACATTCCAGCTCATCATCTTGGCAAAATGCTGGCATGGGGAACAAAAAGTGAGAAGGAAAACATTTTAGAAATAAATGTGATTATCACTAACATGCACATCTTCATGTGCCAGTAGAAGCATGGAAAGAAGAAAGTATGTGATCGCGATCGCTGAGACTTCCAAACGGACATGAAAACAGTATAAACAGAATTTGTAAAATATTATTTAATAGACATCAATACACACAAAGAGCATTTAAACAGAATTACTACGTTCAAGTGACTCAATGTTCTGATTCTAACAATCAGACTGAATAAACGGTACTCACAGCAGCAGAAATACCCAAGATCAGAGAACGGGGTTAAAATCTGCATGAGCAGAGCATGAGGGATGAACAGACTGAAGCCACCTTAGAAAGAAAACAATCTCTGTCCACAGAGATGCATAATGGGTTTTTTTTTTTTTTTTTTTACATCTCTACTATTAAATGACTCTGTGAATCATACATAGTTCTCTTTTGAGTTTTAAAAATTATAGTAAATCTCCTTGATTGCCTACTTAACAACCATTTCCTTTCTTCCTCCTTTTTTTAAGGGAGCCCAATTTTGTTCAGACCCCCACACCCACCATCCCCAGTTCCAAAGGAAGATCCTGATTAATTTAAGCTGGGCATGGCATTTTTCTGTCTACAGTTTGTTTGTTTGTTTGTTTTCTGAATACAATTAGTAGTCCAGGAGTAAACATATGCTCTGATATCATAGGCCTTGGCCTGTGGTTGTGTGACTGTGCTTCACAGGACAGCTCCTTCCCAAACTCTGCTGCTGTGCCATGTGCCCTAGTTGGGGACAGGAACAACCTGGAGAAAACAGCATCTTTTTTTTTTTATTGGTTCTCCCTGAATGGTGCTTCTTTTTGCAGTTCAGCTGTTTGTAGCAAGTGTCTTTTCTAACTACACAAAGGCTCCTGACGGCTAGCTGTCACTCTGCCCAAAGTTGACCTGAGCGAATCCCTTAATGATATCTTGGAGATATGAACACGGTCCTTCCTCCTTCCAGGTGGACATGATCAAGAAGCATGGTGCCCCAGGTGCCCATGGTAATGTCATCTTTTCACCATTGTGGGAGCCAGCCTGAGTTGAAACTGAACTGAAATCACAGACAAGGTACTAAACTGCCACATACAGCCTCAAGAGTCCATCCTACACTTGACTCTTTATATGATAATATAAAACATGTGAGAGAGATATATATATATGATAATAAAAGATAAATGTCTTCATTGTTTGTCATTTCAATTTGGGCTCTTCTGTTTGTTTCTGTTTCATTTATCTATCTGTAGGTAAAACATCTTAAGAGACATAATTATTTTCCGGTTCTAAAAGCAATGGTCATTCATTTAGAAAATGTAGAAAAGAGAGAAAAGCACAAAAATTTAATAATTACACCACCCAAAGACTATAACTGTAAACTTTTAATTATGACTTTCTGATCTTTTTCTATGTGTGGATATATGTACTTTTGAAACTCAGGACAATAATGCACATAATACTGAATATTTTGTTTTATTCAACTAATGATATAAAATGAATCCAAGAGAAATTTTTCTTCTCTAATCTAATTTTAATATTTGCATATTATTTTCTTGTACGGTTGTAGTTTATGTTCCCTATTTTTGGATATTTGGAGGTATTTTAATTTTCCCATACTATAAATAATGCCAGAAGAATATTACAGTGTATATATTTTACACATATTTAGTTGGCTTCTTAGAATATGTATTTACAAGTGGAGTTTGATCAAAAGATGTGAAAATACTAAAAGATTTGTATGGATACTTACACATTTTTGGCTTGTATTCAAAATGAGACTTAACTGGTGTTTAAAATAAAAATGCTGTGTTGACAAATTCGCATAAGCACTTACAGCAGTTTTTTTCATCCATGTAATCAGGGCAGTCTGGGAACCCATCGCAGATGACTGTGTGCTTCAAACATTGTTTATTGGATGGACATTCCCAAAGATCTCTCTCTTTACAACCTAGACGGAAGAAAAGGTTATTTGCAATAGACGTGAAGTTGAAAATAATGATAAATTCAATCAATGTAGAAAAACTACACTATAAAGGCATGATGTCGCTGGGCGCAGTGGCTCACGCGTGTAATCCCAGCACTTTGGGAGGCTGAGGTGGGCGGATCACAAGGTCAGGAGATCGAGACCATCCTGGCTAACACGGTGAAACCCCGTCTCTATTAAAAATACGAAAAAATTAGCCAGGCTTGGTGGCATGTGCCTGTACTCTGGAGGCTGAGGCAGGAGAATCACTTGAACCTGGGAGGCGGAGGTTGCAGTGAGCCAAGATCATGCCACTGCACTACAGTCTGGGCAGAGCGAGACTTTGTCTCAAAAAAAAAAAAGCATAATGTCTTTTTTCTTAAAAAGTTTTTTTTTTTTTTTTTGAGACGGAGTCTCGCTGTGTCACCCAGGCTGGAGTGCAGTGGCGTGATCTCGGCTCACTGCAAGCTCCGCCTCCCGGGTTCACGCCATTCTCCCGCCTCAGCCTCCCAAGTAGCTGAGACTACAGGCGCCCGCCACCACGCCCGGCTAGTTTTTTGTATTTTTAGTAGAGACGGGGTTTCACCATGTTAGCCAGGATAGTCTCGATCTCCTGACCTCGTGATCCACCCGCCTCGGCCTCCCAAAGTGCTGCCTTCTTAAAAAGTTTTGACCCCTGAATACCATGAATAATATAATTTTAAAAGTAGAAATACCCAATAATATTCATATTATAATATAAATTGTATAGCTGACCTAACAGAAGATCAAAAGTGACCTACGGGGCCAGGCATAGTGACTCATGCCTGTAATCCCAGCACTTCAGGAGGCTGACGTGGGCGGATCACTTGAGCTCAGGAGTTGGAGACCAGCATGGCCAAGATGGTGAAACCCTATCTCTACTAAAAAATACAATAATTAGCCAGGCGTGGCGGTGTGTGCCTGTAATCCCAGCTACTTGGGAGGCTAAGGCAGGAGAATCATTTGAACTTGGGAGGTGGGGGTTGCAGTAAGCCAAGATTGCACTACTGCTCTCCAGCCTGGGTGACAGAGCAAGACTCTGTCTCAACAAAAAGAAAAAAAAAGTGACATAGGGGACATGGAGAAAAAATTTAAAACCATACATTAACATTCATCTTTAGCTGTTCCTTTTTCTTTCTGAGTGAAATTGTTGTCAATGTATAAGACTTATCTATAAAATAATATTATGCTTTTAAGCAAATATGCCAAAGTCTAGTGATCTAAATGCATGTCACCTTAAAATGTAATTTCATTCTACAAATCAGGAGGCCATCTGTTTTTTTAGCAAAAGAGGCTCCTTCTATGCCAAACAAAACTAGTTTAAGAGCCAGGTACAAAAGCTATTACTTTATGGTAGTCAGACATCTAAAGTTGGAAACTTCATCAATTAGTAAGAGAAATGAATATAATTTGCACATTAATGTAATAACTTGAACTGTAATTTGCCTATGAAATAGCAAGCACTTGTGATGTATTTAATAAATACCATTGATGATTCATGTGCAGTGCATTTCATATGCCTGCTAAAGTCTGACAAGAGTCTAATATGTTTTGTCATTCCGGTCAGATCCCTGGCCCAGGCCAGGCCGTGAAGTACATGAAGGAAGAGACAATGTGGCAAAAAAATTTGAGTACCCTCCACCCCCTTGGCTAGAACAATGGCTAGCATGTGGCAGGCCCTCAATACGTGTGTGTTTTAAGTAGAACTTCATTTCATGTAAGGAAAAAAATGTCTCTGGCTCCCAGGAAAATATAATTTATTTTAAGGTCAGTGAAATGCAAAGCAGTGATCAAATAAGAAGTTTCTTCAAGAATGTTATTGTTCATCTGACCTACTACAAATGAGTCAGATACATTTTGTAGATGATTGACTCAGGTTTCTTGGAATCCATTATAAGAAAAAAATTGGTTTTCAAAATTTTCACTAAAAATAATTATAAAAATAAGTGACCCAAAATGCTTACTATAAGCTAAAATTAGATTTAGTGTGTTTCATCATCCAAAGATATAGGAAATAAATAATGAGAGTCTTTCACTGGCTGATAATCTGGAGTGGTCTTAGGCCCAGGGACATCCATTCCAAGAATTCACAGGGACATTATTTAGAGTTTTCAGCTAGTAGAGGATCCAGACAGCATCTGAAAAGTTCTGACAATAAGAGTCTCCTGAGTTTTGAGAAAGAGCCTGAAATCTGTCCTCTGTGACCCAGCTCCTGCCAAATGCTACAGTCTGCTCATTCTACCAGAGAGCAAAAGACATCAAAAAAGAGGGCTCAACACTCCATGCATGGTGCTGACCCTTCTCCAGAGCTGCTCCTTTGCTCACAAAACACACCACTTGCTAATAGAGAATGAAATAAAATAGCATGCGTTTTTCTGACGATTCCCAAGGCACATTCTTCTTACCAAGGCACATTCTTCTTAAGACTACAAGGAAGAACTTTGACATTTGGAATGAGATGATGAAATACCACATAAATAGATCATCTGGGACAGAAGGCCCCCCAAGGTGTATCCTCACAAATAATAATAATCATGATAATGAGATAACATGTATTATCCACTATGTATCCACATTCTAGATATTAGCTTTAATTCTTAAAATAACCCTATAATGTCAGCATTATGCTCACCATTTTATAAGTGAGGAAACTAACATTTAGAGAAATTGAATCCCTCCACATCACAGCTCCACGGAGAAAGATCTGGATGAGATCCAGGTACAAGTCATTAATTGCAGTTCTTTGTAAGATGCGAACATGAAGTATGCATAAGGGGTAGGAGCAGTGGAAGCACAGCTTTAGAGTCAGACAACTGGATTTGAATCCTAGTTCCAAATCTCACTAGCTGTGTGAGCTTGGATAAGTTACTTAACTTCTCCAAACCTTGGTTTCCATAACATCTAAAATACAAATAATAATGCCTGCTTCATATGGTTGCTATAAACATTAAAGGAGTACTCCATACGCATTCATTTTTTACCTCTCCATGTCTTCTCTTTTCTCATAAAAGTTTGCATAACATAATACCTCCTTTGTGGAGTTACAGTGAGCATAAAAGAAGTAGGATAAAAAGAGAGAGACATGAGTTACATGGGGAGACAGTATTATTTTGAGAAGAAACCACTTTCTTTGTAAAGTGACATTTTGGTGCAAATATGTTTTAAATTTATATTCTAAGAGGAAAACGATATGATTCCAAAAAAAATTAAAAACAGGCATGGATGGGATGGGCTGTTTAATGCAGCTGTAGGTTATGAAACCAAATAATTGTCGATGTCAGAATAATAACCTCCCCAGCACAGAGACAATAGCAACAATCAATAATTGAGGATACAGTGTTCCAAAAAAGTGATCAACTCATCTCAGTTTGCCAGGGATTTAACTGATTTGAGCATGACATATCCCTTGTTCCAAAAGATCCCCATCAGTTCCAGGCAAATCAGGTTGACTGGTCACACTAAGTGTGCTAAGCATTCATCTGGGTTTTTTGCTTACTCTGTCTCTCATTTTCACAAAAACTCTGTGAAACAGGCTGCCCTGACAGAGGCAGTCTCCTCCCCCCACTCCACCCCTAAATGGAATACCTTGTTTCTCTATAAAAACAGTTGTCATTACAAATAAAGTCAGCAAATCGACTTAAAGCAGATGCTTTTTGTTCTGTAAGAACCTCTTAGCTATGCAACTGTAGAGTAAGTAGGTCCACTCATCCTCTTGAGTTGAACTGCATGAGATTTTTAAATTCTCACCCTTCGGAGTGGAACCACTCACAAGGAGGAAGGAGACAAGGTAATACTGCATTGGCAAAGGCTGGAACAGTCTGGACTGAGCCATCCTGGACCAGCGTCTGCCCCAGGAAGTGGCTGTGGACGTGACCTTGGAGCAGATCATAGGAGCTGTAACAGCCAGAGTATAGGCCTAACAGGTGTGAAGAGCCTTCTACAGCATGCAGGATCCTGGACAACAGTGCCCCTTCCCTCAAGGCATGGCTGCAAAGGGCTCTGCCTCTGCACCTGCTATAGCTGCTGGAACAGAGGACCTGCCTCCCACTGTGGTCCAGGCCTGACTATCAGGGCAGCAATACCAGCACAGGCCAACCAGCCACCATCCAGCTAGAAAGTCGCAGCAGCCTACCCAATTCCTGAGTCACTTCCTGCTTTTAGCAGTGCCATTTTTATGGCATGCTCTTCACATTCGGGTGGCCCAGTCTCCTGTGAAAGAGGCAGGATGGAGGAATGGATGGGACTTTAAATTGCATGGCTCTAATCCTAAAAAGAGAGAATATCCAACTCAAAACCAACACTGTCTCCAGGAAAAGACACTATCCATCTACCTGAGTTTACTGTGTGAGCCAGGGACCTCGCCCAGCCCATGCTTTAGCCTGACAGGCCAGCCCACTCTCTTTTGCCATAAACAGCTGTCAGAAACAAGGCTATGCTAGACAGGACTCCTTCCCTCAAGGGAGACTGCTGGGGCAGCCTTTGAAAGGAATTGCCTCCTGATTTCCCACCGCCACAGCAGGTGAGTTCTTGGTTATTGTCTTCTGAGATTGAACAGGACATGTTATAAGCATTCCAAGCTGTGGAAGATAACGTGGGTGTTCTCTACATCTTACCCAGAGAAGTAAAGTGACTGGCCAAATGTCACACAGCCTCTAAGGCTAAGTCAGGATGTAAATTCAAGTCTAAGTCTATGCAGGACACTCTGCCATTCCAGTCTGCCTTCCCAAGACACCACAGAAGACAATGAAACAGTTAACCAAGTATCTAAAGGGAAGGAGAAAATTTGTCCCTTAACATGGAAAATTAAACCCTACTGAGTGATGAGAAATCAATCCTGAAAATTCATCCTGAAAGCACATTTGTGGATATGCCAAAGCTATGGACATAATGACTCTCACTCTTCTGCCAGCTACAGAGCAAAGAGTGGTCTCCTCCCCAAACAAAGAGACACAAAAGCATAGAGGCTGATGGTATTTGGAGTGTTAAGAAAGCCAGTTAAGCCCTTCTGTGAGACAACTCATAGAAATGCTATCCACAAATCCAAAAAGAAAACATACCTTTTGGAAACCCTTTGAAATCAAGCTGTAAAACCCATAAATATCAGAGTCAGATCTTCTAATACAACCTAAGGGGATTCTGACTCGGAGAAATGGCTCAGGTTATATTTAAAGGTTTTATTTTATTTAAGATCAAGAGGAGATCAAAGATAGGTGAAGAACTGGTTTTTTACTCATCTGACGATAAACAGAAAGTCACTTAATGACACTCAGACATTTGTATTGCTGTCAATCTTTTCTCCATATGATGTATACTTTTTTACTTAGAATAGTGATCAGTTAGCAATTTTGATTCTGTGTTAGTGTAATAAAGGATTTTATTTTGACAGTCGATATAAAGCACCTGTTATAGCTACATTTTCATTTAATTGCTCCATTGGGAGTTGCTGTTTGCTTGCATCACAGCCCAGGTACCACCTGCTCTTGTAGCTGACCCAAATCGTGGAGGTAAAGTCTAGCGAGAGATAACCTCCGCTTCACACACTCAAAGCTATAGAGTCATATAAAAGCTGAAAAATATAATATTTTTGTTGTTTTCCTTAGTTTTCCTTTCTTTGATGTCATTCTTGATCATTTATTTGCCCATGTCTTTCCCTCATGCTCCACTGCATGGCTATCGATGCTTGGAAAATGTTATGTTGAAAATAAACTCATTTATCAAGTTGCTAGTTTTGCAGGCAGCTCCATCTATATCATGTATGCTCAATTACTGACATACCATCAATCCTTAAGACAATGCAGTACTGACACAGTGCAGATTCTGCTCAGCGTTCCCCTGTCTCTTAGACTTCCTTCTCATATTGGATTTGCATAATTCATCCCAACACTTGTTGAAATATTTTCTAGTACTGACATTTTCAACTCTTGTTTACATCGGCAATTACACAATCAAAGCAACCTCAACAGTGAAAATCTACCACAAGAGCTGGAGATACTTAAAAACAATATTACTGATTGGTAAATTCTAATGCATATATTTTAAAAGTGTATTTATAATCTAAGTGCTTTGGCTACCATGTTTCTCCATTACAAAAGCGCCAAAGAAACAAGAAGTAAAGTTAATTTCTCATACAATATTTATTTTATAACTGAGTTAAATAAGAATTGTTTTGAGGGGAAACTCAATAACCTTGTTGGAAATTCTGAGGGAACTGCAGATCCATGACAATAAATAGTTAATTGTCCAATTATTGAGTACATCTCAAACACTTAAGACCACAAGGGACAGAATAAGTCAGAAAGGCAAGAAGCTTCCGGTGAAACCCAGCTTCGCTGGAGCTGGTGCTTGCTTTACCGGATGGTGTGCCTATACACATACGAAAACAGAAAGACAAACAGCAAGGAGGCAAACAGAAACAGATGACTTCCTATTAGTCCTCTGTTGAGCCTTCATCAACCTGACTTCCTTATTTGATCTGAAGTGGTGTGTCCTCCCAAATCACTGAACAAGTCGATTCAAACACATGCATGAGTCCCAAAGGGGAACAGAGTATGTAAAGTTTTCTATTGTTAGTCACTTTGGAAAACTTCTCATAAATTAGTACTGCTGGAGCAATTAATTTAACTCCAAAGGTATTATTTCTCACCCACTTTTAACTTTCCTTAACTAGAGCTCTCAATAGTGCTGTCAATTATTTTTAGTTTTTGATAGGGATTAGACAATATATTCTATTATTTTGGTGTGCCTTTAATTGTGTGATTAAAATACTGGTGAAAACCAATTACTTAACTAGAAACCTGATATTTTAGGGTCATTTAAACCCTATACCAATACTATAGTACTTTCAACTTGTTTTTTGCAGAATATATTCTAGAACTCAGAACTTTTTGTCTTGGTAAGGCTGTTTTGTTTTGTTTTTAACTAAGCTTTTGTATTTCTCAAATATTTAGTCCCCTACAACAAATTTAGGTCTAGCCACCCCAACAAAGTATCATGCAAAATCTTTGAACCACCTAAGATACTCTACTTTAAATTGCATCTCAAATACCATGACCCATCAAAGTCATAGTTAAGTGAACAAATCTAATACATTCTCAATAAATCACTTATATAAGGGATATTCAATGAGTTTTAATTTATTTCTTTACAAAAAAAAAAAAAACCACAAACAAGCAAACAACAGTAGCTTCTAAAAACACTGTACATTCCTCCATAATAAAATTACCCCAGTCATTGTACCATCATTCTGACAGCTGGGGTTTTCCAGAAGATGCACTCGTCCATATTTATAGGAGCTGAGAGGATTTCAGTTAATTGCTTCTGACATTTTGTCTAGACCAGAAGGGCAACGCTTACCATAGAAAATTCACTTAATGAAGCAAGGCAGTATTTCATACTTCAAAGGCCAAAAGAATGAAATGATTTCAAAAGATGTACTGCCTTATGTGTTTTTCATGAAACAGTGTCAATTCTTCTTAAACAGGAAAGGCTAAATAACCAAACCATTCTGTGAATAGATCTGCAATCATTTTGCTTTCCTCAAAAACACTGTTTATTAAAGGCCATTGTCTGACTTCTATTCCCTAATACACTGAGGTTACAAGTACAAAGATTTGCAGGGAAATATAATGAGAATTAAGTCCACTCAAATTACCATTGGGATTTACAGCTTTTCCACTGGCGATTTTGGAAATCAATGGCAGAAATGTCAAGAAGAGTTTTATCCTTTGCCAACAGAGAACAAATAAGAGAGGACATGAAAATGAATCCCAATTAAACTGGGAATGATGGAGTCTGAACTCTGAATGTTGGCGTATGAACTCTGCCTTCGTGCATCTAGATGTCTGCTTAGCAACATGGGAAGCATACGCAAAGACACTATTATTCTGACTTTAAAACTGATAACTGTTTTATAATTTAATAATAAAAATAATTCCTTACATTTGTGAGGTGCTTCTCCTTTTAATAAGTGTTTGCAAATATAGTCGTGCCCCTCCACCCTTATCTGCAGTTTCAGTTTCCACGGTTTCAGTTATCCCTGGTTAAGCATGGTCCAAAAAGGTTGGCATAGTACAATAAGATATTTTTTAAGAGAGAGAGAGAAACAACATTCCCATTACTTTTATTTCAGTATATTGTTATAATTGATCCATTTTATTATTGTTGTTGTTAATCTCTCATTGTGCCTAATTTATAAATTAAACTCTATCATAGGGACGTATGTGTAGGAAAAAGCATAGTACTGCATATATGGGGTTCCATACAATCTATGGTTTCAGGCATCCACTGGGTGTCTTGGAACGTATCCCCACAAATAAGGGGGAGGAGTACTGTATGTATCAGGGTTACACAGAAGCGTAATTTAGAGGAAATCAAGAGTTAGGAAAAAGACTTAGAATATATGCCATACTGTTCAATAATTTAAGAAGTAAAGGCATTAGCATTCAATCCTAGTCCTACTATCAGTGAATAGTTTACATTTTTAACACAGTTCTTATTCTATTCTAGTTAATGCTGTACATTCACGAAAAGTACCATTGCAAATACATACCACAGTTTTCCTCATCACTGTCATCATCACAGTCGGCCTGGCCATCACATCTTCTGGAAGCCAGAACACACCGTCCTGAGCGGCACTTGAAATGACTAGGTGAGCATTCTATTAAAAACAATATTACTGTTAAAGGGCTGAAAACCCAGAAACATCAGCTAATTTACGTATTTACATGTAGGATGTTGTCAAGGAGCTTTTACTGAAGATAAGAGTGGTCTCTTGCAAAGCAAAATAGCCATTTCACTTTGGCATTCTTCTGCCTACCAATCAGCATCTTTCTCCTTCATTCTTGGCCTCATCTCTCTAGATACACAGTTTAACGTCTATGTATTCCAATGATTAATTCTCTTTCCAAATGGGACAATCCAACAATTGCCAGAGCCTAATATGCCTTGTGGAGTCAGTGCTCCTGACTACCTAGCAGCTCACAATGTGTCAAAATCATTTCCACAGCCCCATCTTTCCACCTGGCCCACAATTCCATTTCTGTACTTAACGATCCTGTGTTGCCATGGTCCCCAAATGTTTTTTACTTGAAGGAACCAAAGTTTAATGTTCACCTTTGCATTCAGAATCCCTAGTATAAAGCATCCATACATAATGGGCTCTGTGAGTAAAGTACAGTTTAAGAAACACCAGAGTACTAATTAAACTCATCTCTGAGTTCATTATTTTTAATTTTAAAATGATTTTTTTTGAGGGGGAGATGGAGCAAGATGGCCAAATAGAAGCCTCCACTAAGTGTCCTTTATGCAGGAACACCAACCTGAACAACATCCACACAAAAAAGCACCTTCATAAGAACTAAAATTCATATGAGCAATCATAGTACCTGGTTTTAAATTCAGATAATTTAAAAAGGCACTGAAAAGGGTAGGAAAGACAATTTTGAATCACCAACACCACCCTTCCCCCATTCCCCAGCAAGAGCTGCATAGTACAGAGAATCTGTGCACTTGTGGAGTGATTGTGGGACTTTGCATTGGAACTCAGTGGTGCCCTGTCACAGCAGAAAGCAATACCAGGCAGAGCTCAGCCAGTGCCCATGCATGGAGGGAGCATTTAGACCAACCCCAGCCAAAGGGGAATCACCCATCCCAGTGGTCAGAACTTAAGTTCTGGCAAGCCTTACCACCACAGGCTAAAGTGTTTAGGGGTCCTTAATAAATTTGAAAGGCAGTCTAGCCCACAAGGACTGCAATTTTTGGGCAAGTCCTGATGCTGTGCTGGGCTTGGAGACAGTGGACTTGGGGGCATGCAACCTAGTGCATGCCGCAGAGTGGCCAAGATAGTGCTTGTGCCACCCCTTTCCCAACCCCAGGCAGGCACAGCTCGCAGCTCAGAAAGAGACTCCTTTCTTCTGCTTGAGGACAGGATAGGTGAGAGTAAAGGGGACTTTGTCTTGTAACTTGGATGTCAGCTTAGCCACAGTAGAATAGGGCATCAGGCAGAGTCCTGTCCAAGGCCCCCATTCCAGGCCCTAGCTTCCAGACAACATTTTTAGACCTATCTTCAACCAAAAGGGAACCCACTGACTTGAAGAAAAGGACCCAGTCCTGGCAAGATTAGTTACCAGCTGACTAAAGAGCCCTTGGGCCCTGAATTATCAGCAGCAGCACTCAGGCAGTACTTGTTGTGAGCCTTTGGTGAGACTGAAATGTGCTGGCTTCAGGTATGACTGAGCACATTCCCAACTGTGATGGCTACAGGGAGAAACTCCTGCTTGAGAACAGGAGAGGGAAGGGTAAAATGAATTTTGTCTTGCAGCTTAGGTACCAGGCTCGGCCACAGCGGGGTAGAACATCAAGTGAACTCTTGGGGTCCCTAATTCTAAGTCCTGGCTCTTGGATGACATTTTTGGATGTGCCCTGAGTCAGAGGCCAGCCCACTGTCCTGAAATGAGAGTCCCAGGCCTGGCAGCATTCACCACAGGCTGACTGAAGAACCCTTGGGCCTTGAGTGAACTCTTGTGGTATGGTAGTACTTGCCATGGACCTGGGGTTGTAGTGATCATGAGGAGAGACCACTACCATTCTTCCATTACCTGTTTGTGGGAAGCGGAAGAGTGAGAACTTTGACTTGTGGCTTGGGTGCCAATACTGCAGAAATTCAAAGGATCATTAGAGGCTACTATGAGCAACTATATACGAATAAATTGGAAAACCTATGAGAGATTAATATATTCCTAGAAATATACAACCTACTAAGATTGAACCATGAAGAAATCCAAAATCTGAAAAGAACAATAACAAGTAATGCTATTTAAGTAACAATTAAAAGTCTTTCAGCAGGGGGGAAATAAAAGCCTGTACCCAATGGCTTCACTGCTGAACTTTGCCAAATATTTAAAGAAGAACTAGTACCAACTCTGCTTAAACTATTCCAAAAAATAGAGGAGAAGGGAATACATCCAAATTCATTCTATGAAGCCAGTATTACCCTGATACCAAAGTTAGACAAAGACACATCAAAAAAAAGAAAACTACAAGTCAATCTCCTTGATGAACATTGACGTAAAAGTCCTCAAGAAAATACCAGCAAACTGAATTCAACAACAGATTGAAAGGTCATTCATCATGACCATTTAGGATTTGGTTTTTTGTTTGTTTGTTTGTTTGTTTGTTTGTTTTCTTGAGATGGTTTCGCTCCTGTCGCCCAGGCTGAAGTGCAGTGGCATGATCTTGGCTCACTGCAGCCTCTGCCTCCCAGGTTCAAGCAATTCTCATGCCTCAGCCTTCCGAGTAGCTGGGATTACAGGTGCCCACCACCATTCCCAGTTAATTTTTGTATTTTTAGTAGAGACAGGTTTTTACCATGTTGGCCAGGCTGGTCTTGAACTCCCGACCTCAGGTGATCCACTTGCCTCGGCCTCCCAAAGTGGTGGCATGACAGGCGTGAGCCACTGCTCCTGGTGACCATTTAGGATTTACAGGAGTGATGCAAAGATGATATAACATATGGAAATCAATCAATGTGATATATCATATCAACAGAACGAAGGACAAAAAGCATAGGATCATTTCAGTTGATGCATTTGAAAAAATTCAACATCCCTTCCTGAAAAAAAATCCCTCAAAAAACTGGGTAAGAAGGAACATACCTCAGCAAAATAAAAGCCATATTTGACAGACCTACAGTTAGTATCAAACTAAATGGGGAAAAACTGAAAGCCTTATCTCTAAGATCTGGAACATGACAAGGATATCCACTGTCACCACTGTTATTCAACATAGTAATAGAAGTCCTAGCTGAAGCAGTCATAAAAGAGAAAGAAATAAAGGGCATCCAAATTGGAAATGAAGAAGTCAAATTATTCTTGATTGCAAATGATATGATCTTATATTTGGAAAAACCTAAAAACTCCACCAAAAAGCTATAGAACTGGTAAACAAATTCAGTAAAGTTGCAAGATACAAAATCAACATACAAAAATCAGTAGCATTTCTACATGCCAAAAACAAAAAATCTGAAAGAGAAACCAAGAAAGTAATCTCATTTACAAAAGCTGCAAATAAAATAAAATACCTGGAAATTAACTTAACCAAAGAAGTGAAAGGTCTCTGTGATAAAAACCATAAAACACTGATGAAACAAATTAAAGAGGACATAAAAAATGGAAAGATAGTCCATGTTCATGGATTGGAAGAATCAATATTGTTAAACTTTCCATACTATGTGTATTAGGCCATTCTTGCATTGCTATAAAGAAATACTAGATGCCACATAATTTATAAAGAGGTTTATTTGGCTCATGGTTCTTCAGGCTTTAAAGGAAGCCTAGAGTCTGCTTGGTTTCTAGACAGGCCTCGTGAAGCTTACAATCATGGCAGAAGGTGAAGGAGGAGCAGGAACGTCACATGGCAAAAGCAGCAACAAGAGAGAAAGAGAGAGTTGGAGGTAGGCACCATGACTAGATCTCCTGTGAACTCAGAGTGAGAGATGGCTCAAGCCATTCGTGAAGGATCTGTCCCCATGATCTAAACACCTCCCACCAGACCCTACCTCCAACACTAGGGATTACATCTCAACATGAGGTTTGGGTGGGGAAAAATATCCAAACTATATCATTCTGCTCTGCCCCTTCCCAAATCTCATGTCTTCTTCACATTTCAAAATACAATATCCCTTCTCAGTAGCTCTGCCAAAGTCTTCACTCATTCCAGCATTGACTCAAAAGTCCCAAGGCCCAAATTCAAAGCCTTATCCTAAATCAAAATAAGTTCCTTCTACCTATGAGCCTGTAAAATCAAAAGAAGGTATTTACTTCAAAGATACAACAGCTGTACAGGCATTGGGTAAACATTCCTATTTCAAAAGGGAGAAATTGGCTAAAAGAAAGGGGCTACAGGCCCCATGCAAGCCCAAAACCCAGCAGGGCAGTCATTAAATCTTAAAGCTCCAAAATAATCTCCTTTGACTACATATCCCGCATCCATGGCACACTGGTACAGGGGTGGGCTCCTAAGGCCTTGGGCAGCTCTGCCCCTGTGACTTTCCAGGGTTCAGTCCCCATGGCTACTTTCACAGGTTGTTGAGTGCCAACAGCTTTTCCAAGCAAAGGGTGTAAGCTGCCAGTGGATCTACCATTCTGGAGTCTGGAGTGCAGAAGCCAACTTCCCACAGCTCCATGAAGCAGTGACCACTGGGGACTCTGTGTGGGGGCACCAGCCCCATGTTTCCCCTCTGCACTGCTCTGACAGATGTCCTTTGTGGGGGCTCCACCCCTGCAGCATGCTTCTGCCTGGGCACCCAGGCTTTCTCATACATCCTCTGAAATCTAGGCAGAAGCTACCAAGCCTCATGCACTTTTGCTCTCTGTGCACCTTCAGGCTTAACCCCATATAGAAACCAACAGGCTTATAGCTTCCATTCTCCAAAATGGCAGCCTGAGCTGTACATGGGCCTCTTTGTGCCATGGCTAAAAGTAGAGTGGCCTGGATGCAGGCAGCAGTGTCCCAAGGCTGCAAAAGGCAGTGGGGACCTGGGCCTGGCCCATAAAACCATTCAGTCCTCCTGGCCTTAAGGCCTGTGATGGCAGGGGCTGCCTGGGAGATCTCTGAAATGCCTTCAAGGCATTTTTCCCATTATCTTAGTTATTAGCTCTTTGCTCCCTTTTGGTTATACAAATATCTTTAGCAATTCAGCCTGCTTGAATTCCCCTACTGAAAAAGCTTTTTGTTTCTTTACCACATAGGTAGGCTGCAAATATTCCACACTTTTATGCTCTGCTTCCCTTTTAACTATAAGTTTCAACTTTAAGTTATTTCTTTGCTCCTGTATCTGAGCACAGGCTGTTAGAAGCAGCCAGCCTATGTCTTGAACACTTTGTTGCTTAGAAATTTCTTTCATCAGGTACCCTAAATTTTCACTCTCAAGTTCCAACTTCAACATATCCTTACGGCATGAACAGAATGCAGCCAAGCTTTTTTCTAACACACGACATGGGTGAACCTTTGCTCCCATTCCCAATTAGTTCCACATTTCCATTTGAGATCTCATCAGCCTGGCCTTCACTATCCATATCACTATCAGAAACTTGGTCACAATCACTTAACCAATTTCTAAGAAGTTCCAAACTTTCCCTCATCTTCCTGTCTTCTTCTGAGCTCTCCAAACTCTTCCAACCTCTGCCTATTACCCTGTTCCAAAGCTGCTTCCACATTTTCAGGTATCTTTATAGCAATGCTGAACTTCTAGTACCAATTTTCTGTGTGAGGCCATTCTCGTGTTGCTATAAAGAAATATCTGAGACTGGGTAATTTATAAAGAAAAGAGGTTTAACTGACTCATGGTTCTGCAGCCTTTACAGGAACCATGGTGAAGACATCTGCTCAGCTTCTATGAAGGCCCCAAGAAGCTTACAGTCACAATGAAAAGCAAAAGGGGAGCAGGCACGTCACATGGTAAAGAAGGAGCAAGAGAGAGAGTAGGGGAAGAGGTATTGTCGCACTTTTAAATGACTACATCTCATGTGAATGCAGAGCAAGAGTTCATTTGTCGCTAAGGAGATGACCCAAACCAATCACTAGGGATCTGCCCCCATGATCCAAACACCTCCCATCAGGCCCCACCTCCAACATTGGGGATTACATCTCAACATGCAAGGACAAATATCCAAACTATATCACTATGCAAAGCAATCTATAGATTAAATATAATCCCTATTAAAATACCAATGACATTCTTCACAGAAATAGGAAAAAAGTCCTAAACTTCATATGGAACCACAAAAGACTCAGAATAGCCAAAGCTATCCTGAGCAAAAAGAACGAGGGGAATCACATTACCTGACTTCAAATTATACTACAGAGCTATAATAGCCAAAACAGAATGGTACTAGCATAACAACAGACACATAGGCCAAGGGAACAGAAGAGAAAACTGAGAAAAGAACTCATACATCTACAGTGAATTCATTTTCAACAAAGGTTTCAAGAACATATACTAGGGAAAGGACAGTCTCTTCAATGAATGGTGCTGAGAAAACTGGATATTCATATGCAGAAGAATGAGATTAGACCCCAATCTCTTGCCATATACAAAAATCAAATCAAAATGAATAAAGACTTAAACCTACAACTTCAAACTATGAAACTACTAGAAGAAAACATTGGGGAAACTTTCCAGTACACTGGACTGCACAAAATTTCTTATGTGATATTGCATGAACACAGACAACCAAAGCAAAAATGGACAAATGGGATTACATAAAGTTAAAAGCTTCTGCAAAGCAAAGAAAAGTAAAGAGACAACCCACAGAATGGGAGAAAATATTTGCAAAATATCTATACGATAAGGGATTAATAACCAGAATATATAAAATGCTCAAACAACTCTATAGAAAAAAAGACTAGTAATCTGATTTAAAAATGGACAAAAGATCTGAATAAACATATCTCAAAAGAAGACATACAAATGACAAACAGGTATATGAAAAGGTGCTCAACATCACTGACTATCAGATAAATGCAAATCAAAACTACAATGAGATATCATCTCACCCAAATTAAAATCTCTTATATCCAAAAGACAGACAATAACAAATGCTAGCAAGGATGTCAAGAAAAGGGGATCCTCACCCACTATTGGTGAGAATTCAAATTAGTGCAACTATTAGGGAGAACAATTTGGAGGCTTCTCAAAAAACTAAAAGTAGACCTATTATATGACCCAGCAATCCCACTGCTAGGTATATACCTAAAAGAAAGGAAACCAGTATATAGAAGAGATATCTGCACTCCCATGTTTGTTGCAGCACTATTCACAATAGCCAAGATTTGGAAGCAACCCAAATGTCCATGAAAAGATGAATGGATAAAGAAACATATATGCAATTGAGTATGATTCAGCCTTAAAAAAGAATGAGAGCCTGTCGTTTGCAACAACGTGGATGAAAGAAGACGTCATTGTGTTACGTAAAATAAGCCAGGCACAGAAATACAAACTTCTTATGTTCTCACTTATTTGTGGGAGCTGAAAATTAAAACAATTGAAGTCATGGTGATAGAAAGTAGAGCAATGGTTGCCCATGTCTGCGAAGGGTAGTGGTGGGGGAAAGCAGGATTGGTTAATTGGTACAGAAATATAGTTAGATAGAATGAATAAGATCTAGTATTTGACAGCACAACAGAGTGACTAGAGTCAACAATAATTTGTTGTACGTTTAAAAATAACTAAAATTGTTTGTAACACAAAGAAAGGATAAATGTTTGGGGTGATGGATACCCCATTTACCTGATGTGATTATTATGCATTGTGTGTCTGTATCAAAATATTTTAGGTACCCCATACATATATACACCTGCTATGTACCCACAAAAATAAAAGAATAGAAATAACAAATGACTTCATTTTTAAAATGAATGCAATATCTAACAGACGGGTGCCGAATTCTTCAATGCAATCAAGTTCACAAATTCACTCACCTAAGCAGCCTGATAGGCCACTAAATAGAAAACAAACAAACAAGAAACCATAAATAGAAGAAGTTGAAAAGGTAGCTAACATGTTCATCCATGTTAAATACCCCGCTGTAATTAATTTTAAAATTAACCTTCCACATATTCATCAGGCATCAGGCAGGTTTGATTGTCTGAATTTTCTTCTGGAAATTGACTGCAATCTGTGTCTTCAGGCCACTGTAGGCCCACAATCCCAAGAACAGACTCACAGCGTTCTTTGGAGTGCTCACACAATGCTCTAGATGAACAAGGAAAACAAAACATTAGAAGCAGAATTAGCTCCATCTGAGACAGATGTTATGAATTTATGTCAAGTTTTAAATTCTGTGTGTGTGGCATGTATAGTGGGTGTATGGATATAAAAGATGCACATATATATGATAGGTATTTGGGAAACCAAAACAAATAATATCTCTGTAAAGAGTATACATTCCAGCACCACACTTTCACCAGAAGAAACTTTATTGCAGAAATAGCTCTAAAGATGTTTCCAGGACACAGATTCCCTTCTCCACATTGCCTTTCTCATTCTCTCTTCTGTCTTTGAAGCAGACACATTCTCCAACCTTTTGTTCCAAACAGGGAAGTCTCCAACATCACTTTGGATAGTTTGCCACCAAAGTCATTGAATCTATTCATCAACCTCATCCTCAGAGATCTCCCCCTCTGCAGACCAGCCCTGTGAGCCATCTCATGTGCCACCCTAGCTTGCCTAAGGCATTGCCTCCCTTACTTCAGCTTCCATCAATATTGTTGAAAAACTCAGGACTCCTCTCAAACCCACTTATGTTGAGCTCGAGTCAGTTAAAGTGTTTGTTTTTTGTTTTAAAGAAATGATATACTAACTATTGTATCATGCACTTTCAGGGGTGTTATGTCTTTTATCCCCAGAATATTTTTAGGTTAAGGTATCAGCGTGCCTCACAGAAGATTTCTTTACTTCTTTTTTTACTTCTTATGGAAAAAATTATGATTTTTGTCTCAATATAGTACTAAGAAATTAGTTACATAGTTTAAAAAAAAAAAAAAAAACCTAACCAAAGTAAGTTCCTAGGCCAATACTCTCTTAATGGACTCAAATGCATGCTTACGTCTCAAAAGTTTCAAATTTTGTACGTTAATTCAACCAAGTTCTCATTTTTAAGGTAAAATGGGAGACAGATCTTCCAGAAAGGCCAGCTCCAGTCTTGCCCAAAACTGGTAGAGAAAGTGTAACAATCAAATGAGGAAGTTTCAGAGAAAATTCTTTCTAGGTTTAAGTCTGGACAAAGCTCAGCATAACTCAACACCAGGAATTTGGGGTAAAGAGAAAGCCGTGGTATTCCTATGTTAGGTCAGGAAAGATGGAAAGTTCAATAGTTGATAACTGTCTGTTGAACTAACTAGCTTTGTTGCAGGTTTATAAAAAATGTATGTAACTCAATTGTGGTGGCTATTTTAAATTAGTCATATTTATATAGAAGACTGTATAGTGCCTGACTCTACCACTTCCTATTTTTTTCCGTAAAATGGAAATTACAACAATACACAGCAGCACAACTCCAGGAGGCTCTGTTCTTATCATAGTCCTTATAGTGCCCAGCCGTAGGCAGCACCTCTGATGATACACACCTCACTCAAAAGGTTATTTTGAGTACACTCCTAACAATCCTCAAGTATTTAGTCCATTGTAAGGACTTGATAATGTCAGATTTTTCAGTCTCATAGCTAAAATATTCAATGTTAAAATTAATAAACAGACCTAGCAAAAGCAGGCAAAAGCAACTATGTATCACTTTATGAGCTTATTAGCATATTATTCAAAAATTTCTTATAAACAAATATCAAAATCTAAAATTCACAGTGATAGACACTGAAAATGAAAGACGTATGGGTGAACCTGAAAAAAAGAAATAAAGTTATCTAAAAGAAATTTACCAAAATTTTGATTGAACAACACTTCACGATCATGCTTGTCTTAGGCATTTTAATATGGAACTTAAGCCCTGAAATTATAAATTATATCTGGATATAAATTCACATTTCCATTTACAGCAGAAAGTGCTGCTTTAGGGAAATTTTTATCTACATATGAAAAGAAAGTCAAATGCCAGAAATTGTTAAGCACTATTAATAGGAAATTATTCACTATCACTGACCTTGCTTAGCAAAAGTGAAGTAAGATTTAGAAACAGCTTTTTAACATAAAATTGGTAGATGTTTTATACTTTTAAAAGTACTTACAGAAATTTTCAGAATTATTTCTACACCAGCTAATATTTAGTTTTATTCTCTCCATTGGTATAATTTGTTCAGTCCCCCAAGTCATTTTGAAATTTTATTATTTCCTGTCCTGTCTCTATAGATGCCCTTACTTTGTCATCCATTTGGTATTCAGCATATAATTTATTGTTTTCTCTTCTGTCCACTATATTAATAGTACTGCTTTAAAAAAAAAAAAAACTCTGTATGACTTCTGATCCCAACATATGGTTTCTGCAGTTGCTACTCACATTTAGGCCAGCACATTTGTATACCCACCCCTTGAGGGAAAACAGCACTGAAGAGAGTAGTAACTCACTTCTGAGAGTCATCTTGTATATGCAAACCCTCTAACTACAATGCCTACCACATGGCACAGCAAAGGGACAGACTGCCAAGAAGCTATTGTGTTCCTTTGCTATCATCATAGCTATTGTCCATTCAGGGTTCACTACAATGAATCAGAAGCCCTTTACATTCATTTGATCTCAAAACAATACAATCCAACAACCATTACTATCCTTTATTGTACATGTAAAGGAACTGAGGCTGAGAGAGACTCAGGAATCTGTCTAAGGGCTACCCAGAAACTAGAGAAGGGTCAAGATTTGAACTCAAATATGGACTCTGGAACAATACTCTTGACACCAGAATATCACTCATATTCAAAGTCCAAGCTGCACTCTTGAAATAGTGCATCTTGTTTCATTCAAACAGGCAGAGAAATGTCAGCAATGTCCATCCCTGTCCAATCTGTGAGGCTGGTGCAATGTCTTGTGTCATATCTCTAACAAGTGGGGTCAGAGTGCAGCATTTTAAACACATCAATGTTGCCAGAAAAAGAGGCAGATATATCCCTTTTCTACTGACATAGTTTTTTAATACAACAGAATGAAATACCTCTGAATTTATTTGACTAAAACATATAAACTATCATCAAAGGATGTTCATACCTCTCTTGTTTGGTACTTTGTTAATGAATTCGGACTCAAATATTCATTTTACAACTTATACTTCTTTGTCTCACTTGTTAAATATGAGGTATTTGTTAAATGCAGAGCTCCTTAGGGAAATTTACTTTGTCCAAATTCAACTAAGTCTTCACCCCTTGGTTCTCTCTGAGGCAAAATAAGGGACTGGGGGAGATCCCATCATATTACCTGCAAGGGGGGATACGCTGGCCTGTATTCACATCACACTTTGGTACCAAAATGGTGCAAGCAAAGAACATGAGGTATTTATAACAGTTGGTTTGAACAAGTGCAGGGAAAAGAGAAGACTCCCAGCTGATGGATGCTTCCTTTTGAGTCCTGTGGCCAAGGTAATTTGGATAACTTGTACTGTTGTACGGCAAATTCATGCAGAGTTCCAGTGTAATTGGTTCACATTGACCTAACAAAGAAACATACATACAAATATTTTTAAATTTCACATATAAAAACAACTTCTTTAAGTTTTACAAAGTTGAAATCTATTTTATTCTTTCTTTAGAGTAGCTAAGACTAGAATGCCAGTAGTATACAACATTTTTTATGGGTATTGAAAATAAGTAAGTTGATTAGTGAAGTGCCCCGGCAACTAAGATTCATTTCTGCATATGTAGTTGCTAACACTGTGACAATATCATGCTTTAGAAAGTCCTTCCTTATTTTTTCCCTTGGCTCACCCAGGCTGGAGTGCAGTGGCCGGATCTCGGCTCACTGCAAGCTCCGCCTCCCGGGTTTACGCCATTCTCCTGCCTCAGCCTCCCGAGTAGCTGGGACTACAGGCGCCTGCCACCTCGCCCGGCTAGTTTTTTGTATTTTTTAGTAGAGACGGGGTTTCACCGTATTAGCCAGGATGGTCTCGATCTCCTGACCTCGTGATCCGCCCGTCTTGGCCTCCCAAAGTGCTGGGATTACAGGCTTGAGCCACCGCGACCGGCCAACTCTTTCATCATTCCTTTTATTGACTCCAATTCATCTTCTTCTGATTTACTCATTACTACTAAAATAGGATAGCCCCATCATCTTCACTGTCACTAAACTAACTAATGAATTTGACTAAATAGGCAATTAGATAACTTCTGTCTATATGTTTTATTGTTGATCAATGTGCTTAAATATAAGGCTACAAGATTTCAGGGCAAGAGGAGGCTCAGATCTGTTGGATACTTCTTGCTAATGAGACAATATCCAAATCCCTTAGCTTGAAATCTGAGGCTATTTTATACTTCAACCCTAGCCTGACTTTTCAGCTTCATTGCCTGTGATTATCCAATCAACAGTATCTTTGCTGTAATAAAATCTATTCCCTTATGACACCAGATATTTTAAGAATCGTATATCTTTGTGCACCCTGTTTGCTCCTCTCTTACCTCCTTTTTTATAACATGCTCATAATTATGTCCCCAAAGGTGGTCATGGTTCTAGCTGCCAGGTGCATACAGCACCTGCTGCCTGGATTAACCCTTTCCCATCTTCCCTACCAAGCTAATTCCTCTGTGATCTGGAAGACTCAGCACAAATACCTCTTCCAGGAAACCTTCCTAGCCAACCACTCTTCCCATTACTACTTCCAGAATGAGTCTCTTCTGACTGCAATAGCATCGTAGGCACATACCCACCATATGCTCATTGCATTCTGCCATATTCTTTATTTACATACTTGCCTCCCCCACAGAATCCTGAGATTTTTGTGAAATGAGACTTTATCTCTTGATCTCAAAGTCTACACCTAGCACAGTGCCAGAATGAAGGGATGAAAATGTATCACGGACTATCCTAGGCACTGTAAATGTAAGAGTAATGAGAAATATTGTCTCTGCCACTGAGAAACTCCACAATCTCGATAGGAAAAAGGATGCATGTGCTGGTAGCTATAGTAGAATGTGAACAGGCTAGGATAGAGTTTGCATGAACTGAACATTTGTGTATCCCCCATTCATATGCTGAAACTCTAACCTGCAATGTGATAGTATTTGGAGGTGGGGCCTTTGGGAGGTGATGAGGTTTTGATGAGATCTAGGTGAGGGTGGCATTTATATGGAATTAAAGTCATTATAAGAAGGAGAAGAGACTAAAGCTCTCACTCCCAGCCATGTGAGGAAACGCAAGAGGGCAACTGTCTGCAAACCAGGAAGCAGCCTGTTACCAGAGACCAAGTCTGCCAGCATCCTGATCCTGCACTTCCAGCCTTCAGAACTGTGAGAAATAAATGTTTGTTGCTTAAGCCACCCAATCCATGGCATTTTATTGTAGCAGCCTGAACATACTAAGACAGACATATTGAACAAAATGGTAGAAGTCCAAAGGGAAAAGGTAGAGCAAGAGTGACCTGGGAAGCCCTCTGATATGGTCTGACTGTGTCCCACCCAAATCTCATCTTGAATTATAGCTCCCATAATCCCCACGTGTTGCGGGAGGCACCCAGTGGGAGATCACTGTATCATGGGGGCGGTCTCCCCCATACTGTTCTCATGGAAGTGAGTAAGTCTCACAAAATCTGATGATTTTATAAGCGGTCTCCCCTTTCACTTGGCTCTCATTCTTCTCTTATCTGCCACCATGTGAGACATGGCTTTCACCTTCCACCATGATTGTGAGGCCTCCCTAGCCACGTGGGACTGTAAGTCCATTAAACCTCTTTCTTTGGTAAATTGCCCAGTCTCGGGTATGTCTTTAGCAGCAGTGTGAAAACAGACTAACACTCCCTCCAAGGATAAATGTGGTTTGGGCAGCTTTGGGGGAATATAGCAGAGAGGTTCCCAGCTCTCTCTCTGTTTGCAGTAGATGTGCCACATTCCCTGAGGGGAGAGGCAAGCAAGTAAGTGTCCTGGTAAAATTCGCCCAGGCAGACCAAAGACCCCATGCCTTATTGAGAGTGATTATTCAAATTAAATTTAATTATTTGACTAAGAAGTGGTATCCGTGCAAATAGATTCGCAATAAGGACTGGGCTGAAATACTAAAACATCTCCAGGACTACTTCTTAATTTAAAGAACCTGAGGGTATCACAGATACTATATTTATAAGGAGGCTGACGTTGGCTGGATAAGAAAAAAAGACAGATGAAGTGTAATATGACTCTCAGTTTCCTGAAGAAGACACAACACTGCAAAGTTGGTATAACCTTGAGGATGAGTCAGAGTGGAGAGAAGAGTAGACAGAAGAGGTTTGGGGTTGGTCGGTTCACTTTATCCTTTCCTGTGATTTGTGAAGGAGGGGTTGGACATTATGGACTAAATGTTTGTGTTCCCTCAAAATTCATATGTTGAAATCCTAACCTCCAATATGGTGGTATTAGGAGGTGGAGCCTTTGGGGGGTGATTCAGTTATAAGTACAGCCCCCAAGAATGGGATTAGTGCCCTTATAAAAGGGACCACAGAGATCTCTCTCACCCTCTTTTCATAGTGTGAGAATATAGTGAAAAGTCGGCCATCTGCAGCCAAGAAGAGGGTCCTCACCAGAACCTGACCATGCTGGCAACCTCATCTCAGACTTCCAGCCTCTGGAACTGTGAGAAATAAATGTCTGTTGTTTATAAGCAATAATGATTTGTTATAGCAGTCTGAACTAAGACAAGAAGTAACATTTAAATATTTTGTTACAAGATTTTAAAATGCATGTTTTTCATAATGATAAAAACACTACAAAGATGCAGAAAGAAAAAGTTCAACATCTTTCCACTCCCCTTTCTGTCACCTTCCCTGCAAGCCAACAGAAGGCTTTGAATACTTCCATACCTTTCCCTTGCTCACATTTATGCATACATGCCTTTGTGTTTACTTTTGCCAAAGCAGAAGCATACCATTCCTATCACCCTTCAATTTGCTTTTGTTGCTTATTTGTCATGACCATCTTACAAGTCAGCACATGCATCTCTAACTGTATGCTTTTTTCCTGATATCTTTAATATACTTAAAATTTTATACAGTTGGTACACTTACAGATATTTTTGATGCAGTCCTTTCTTTCCTTGGGTATACCCTCCCTTTCTTCCTTTCTCTACCACCCCATCAAGGTTTAACTTTTTATTGATGTATTTCATTGAAGATTATTAATAGAATACATCACATGAATAATTTTTCTCTTTCTTATATGTGGAGAATGTATCACTTTTGATTTGGGTTAAGATACAACTTTAAGTGTTTAGGAGCCAAGGAAGAGGAAAGGATTAAGTAATGACCATACATTATTCTGGAGATCTTTATTGAATGTGGTAAGGTTTATTGGATCTTGAGTTTTATTCCTTCAAAGGCATTCTTCACAGAATGCTAAGCAAGATAAACTCTCAATATACCTGTCAACCCCAAATTCTATGATTTATGATATCAATAACCTTTTTTATCTTAAGCATTAGGCTCACCGTTTGAGCCTGATTTACAATCGCCACTAGAGGGAGATCACATCACAAACGTGAGGATATTTTAAGGCGGCAGAACTGTGTTTCTGATGTAAGTTTGATGTAGTACCCAGTACAGTGTCCCGAACACAGATGGGGGTTAAAAAAAATTTTTAAAAAAAAAAAAAAAAAAAAAAATCCTGATGGAACCTCAATGGTATTCCACCTCTAAAAGTCTGAAACAAGATTCATTCAATTCGACCTAACGATGGGATTGTTAACTCAATGGTGTTATATCCTTATGATGTGATACTCTGAAGTTGCTAGAAATCATGTATTAAATGATGGTCATTTACATGAAAAATATGACTTTTCTACATCTAGCAGCATATATAATCATGTTCAAAAATTCTTCTTTGCCTCAAACTCTAAATGCCTCTTTAACATTATTATTTTTAATAGTTTGATATTATTTTAAGGTGAACATCCTTATAACTACCTCCCAGGTCAAGAAACTGAACTCAGAAAGATACTGCAGAAACCTTCCATATACCTCGTCTTATCTCAACCGTCTCATTTTCCCACAAAGTAACTAGTGAGTTTTATCGTTATCACTTCCTTGTTCTTCTTTACGTTTTTTTTGTTGCTGTTGTCGTTGTTTTGTTTTTTTTTTTTGTTTTTCTTTTGATATGGAGTCTCACTGTATTGTCCAGGCTGGAGTGCAGTGGCACAATCTTGGCTTGCTGTAAGCTCCACCTCCCAGGTTCGTGCCATTCTCCCACCTCAGCCTCCCAAGTAGCTGGGACTACAGGTGCCCGCCACCACACCCGGCTAATTTTTTTGTATTTTTAGTAGAGACGGGGTTTCACCATGTTAGCCAGGATGGTCTCGATCTCCTGACCTCGTGATCCACCCACCTTGGCCTCCCAAAGTGCTGAGATTACAGGCGTGAGCCACCACGCCCGGCCTTCTTTATAATTTTATTACCTAAGTGTGTACCACCCCTGGATATTGTAATTGAGGCTTGCCCATTTTTTGAAACTTGTCCTGTCTTTTAAGTCTCTGATAGTCTTTGGGTTCCTCCTCCATTCCTTTGATTTTTCTTTATAATTTGACTATGGAAGAACCCAGACATTTGACTTGTAAGCTACATAACAGCTTCTGAATCTTGCTTATCGCACACTCCTGGTGAAGTTAAACATGTTCCCCATCCTCTCTATTTCCGAACTGTGGCAGCTGAATCAACAGGAATGGACTGGGCTTCATTCCACTGGCAAGACTAGAGGTGGCTGAGCTGTTCTTTCACCAGAAGCCACATCATTCTGATTTCCCTCTTTTTGTGATGTTAGCAGCTGTAGATGCTCCATGCCCTCACTCATTAATTTAATGTGTTACCAAATGGTAATATTCTATTCAATCTTTTTTTCACTTATTAGAAAATGCACATGGAGATGCTTTTGTAAATACATCATTCCTCTCCTCTACTATTTGCTCCTAATCTGTAACCATTACGGTGATTGGCTTCTCTACCACATGACTACACCATTTACTCCTACCAGCTGAAGCTTGCAAAGAGACAGCAGGAAATTGCCAGATCCTTAGGGAATTATTCAAAAAGCAAACCTGTTCATTTCTTCCTTGGTGTTGAGTAAGGGGGGAAAATGCACGAGTAGGCATAGAACTAAAGGTTGATGAACACTATGGGAGGCTTGAGAGAGGGCCTGGGACATGACAGCCATGCCTGAATTTCACAGCCATGGTCAGCATGGGCTCAGGGAGGCAGGAGAGACATGCCCAGGAGTCACTTTTGCAGGTTCTCCCCATTGTCTGGATTGCATAACGGTGAAATGATGGATTAGTCCCTCCACACCAGAATGAGGGGAATAGCATTCCTTCTCCTACCCTCAAAGGCAAGGACACTCTGTTATTTTGCCTCCCAACATGGCACAGAAATGTTAAAGATGCTGGGTTGTGACTGGACATAGCAACACAGGCTGCTAAAAGCTATTTCTTGAAAAAACTACGTATCATCAGAAATGCGGTTTTTAGGCTTTTTTAAAAAGCTGTAGGCACTTCTGTGAATTTAAAATAAGCTTCTCCACTGAAAAATGCACATGGGAATACACAAACCTTTTCATATTCTATTTCAGAGTTCTCACATACTCCTGCAGCCCAGTCATAAATAGGCACTAGAGCAATACATTCTCAACCTTGGCTATACATTGAAGGCATCTGCAGAATTAAAAAATACTGATGACTGGGTCCCACCCAGTATATCTTTAGGGACCATTAGAAAATCACATAATATTTTATGGGATGTCAATAAACAGAGTCTTCAAGGACAAGAATCCTGGCAACTCCATTGAGTAGCTGTCTCCACCAGACTGAGTATCTACTACATTCTCCAAACTCACGTTTTCCTTTGGCATCGAGCAGACTAAGAAAGTACTGTTCAGTTGTGCCTCAGAAGCTGAGTAATACTAGTCTGTGATAGTGGTAAACATCTTCAAGTAATAAATCATATTTTCAAGTGTATGAAGGATTTTCTGAGATGCCACTTGTTTGTCTTTACAGAGACCTAAGTACGCATATATCATCTTGAAGTTCTTTGAAAGATCAGGAATAACATTTTGACTTTCAACTGCAAGTTAGGCACATATGCCATTTTTAATTACACAGGAGTAATGAGAGCGAGTGGCTAGCCTAGTGCCTTTCACTCAGAAGAGAGAGTGTGCAAAACATCTGCTGAATATATGTGGAGAGAAGTTGGCAAGAATATACATGGTGAATGAGGAAGCTGTGAGACAGTGAGGCACTAGGGAAAATGAGTGTATTTAATGAGCTTAAAGAGAACAACAATGTAGAATACATGAGTGGGAAGATGACGATATGTTCTCCCACATTGAAAAGTGACTTCTAGGAAACTAGAAGCCTGTCTCCTTTCTCCACCACTAGAAAGCCTATCACCCATCCCGATACCTGGAACACCATGTACACACTACAAATATTGGTCAGGTCTATGAGTTAAGAGTTATCCAGTTGCCTTTCCTACAACTTATTCTTTTGACAGGAGACAACATAGTTTTGAATATTTAAAATTTGAAATATTTCAAATATAGAGAAAATAGGATAACACACACCCAGTTACTTCTTACCCAAATTTGACACAGGCTAACATTGCCTTTTCTGCATTTTTGAGTCTAATAGTAAGTGTCATTCCATGTCAAACAACCCCCAAAACTTTAATAATAAACACATGTCTTTGAGATGACGCTGTCACTATTCAAACTGAAGGAGAGGTAAAGAAATCGCTCTGAAAAAGTTCCACGGCAGATTGAGAGATGAGCAAAATGAAACAATGGAAACAGTGGCCCAAATAGGTTATGTGTGTGTGTGTGTGTGTGTGTGTGTGTGTGTATACTGCGTATCTATAGGTATGTTCTATTTAAATCAGTTTCTATTTACATCAGTTTAGAGGAAGTAAAATGGCAGCTTGAGTGTGTCGACTTTGTGGTTTGACTAATATCTACTGTTCTCTTATATGGGAAATGGAGGAGGGGTGGGCATGTGCTTCCAGGCAGAGTTATTAAATGCCACAGTCAGTCCTGTCAGTCTGGGTTTTTAATTAGCTGCCTGCCTACATCCCCTTCCCAGCCTCCTTTTTTCACTCCCTTGAGACTCCGTAACAGTTACAGAGGTACTCACTATAAGCTCTACAGTGACCCAGAAAGGTCACCAGGTAAAATTAGGACTGCAAAACTGTACCAAATGCAAGGACTGAGCCTTTCAGCATCCCAGCTTCCAAAGGCCTTGGACTGAGAGGACATGTGTTAAGAAGTAATGCCCTGGCTGGGCGTGGTGGCTCACTCCTGTAGGGCCAGTAGATCACTTGAGGTCAGGAGTTTGAGACCTGGCTGGCTAACATGTTGAAACCCCATCTCTACCAAAAAATAAATAAATAAATAAATTAGCTGGGTGTGGTGGTGTGGGCCTCTAATCCCAGCTACTCGGGAGGCTGAGGCAGGAGAATTGCTTGAACCTGGGATGCGGAGGTTTCAGTGAGCCAACATCGCACCATGGCATTCCAGCCTGGGTGATAGAGCCAGACTCTGTCTCAGGAAAAAAAAAAAAAAAAAAGGAATACCCTCTTGCCAACTGAAAGCTGACTGACCTGCTTCTAAATTTCTAATCCCAATCTGAAAACACAGCCAAAAGTGCATTAGAAAATGTAAAAGAAGTGAGTATAATATGAAAACAGAGCCCAGCAGTCAGAAATCATTACTAGAAATCAGTTGCTGGGGATTTTCTGATTCAATTTCCCAGGAGAGTCCCTAGGGTGCTCTTTCACTTCCGCCCATTCTGTCTTCCCCAAATAACTCCTCCTCCTGAAAGTCATTTTAGAGCCACCTGTTTACACCATTTGGAGCTGTTACACTGTCACCGAAACAAATTAGCATAATGGTTCCAAAACCATTATAGGTCATCAGAGTTCCTGGAAAAGCGAGAATAAATTTCATTAAAAGAACTGACTGTCTGTAATCTGAGCACTTTGGGAGGCCCAGGCAGATGGATCACTGAGGGTGTTGAGCAACTGTAATCCCAGCTACTCTGAAGGCTGAGGCAGAAGAATCACTTGAACCCAGAAGGCGGAGGTTGCAGTGAGCCAAGATGGCGCCACTGCACTCTAGCATGGGTGACAGAGTGGGACTGTGTCTCAAATAGAAAGAACAGACCGCCAAAATTGTATGTGGCTATTTCTATGAACTTCATATTTGCTTCTTTGTTACAGTTTCCATTTTTGAAGCTGTGCTTTAGAAAGGAAGAAAGATAGCATCTGCCTACAGATGGAGCCAAGAAAATAATTCAGAGAAATAATGCTGAGTTGAAAGTAATGGTAATGATATTAAGCAATGCGAATTTACAGTCATTCACAATGACACATTTGTTTCTGATTGAAGTTAATTAAGACCATTTGGTTTCTTTTCTGCTACCACATGCAACCTCCTAAAAAGAAAAAGAAAACAGGTACATTTTTTTGGAGGGATTCCAGACTTCGATATTTGAATGTCAATGCAGAAGAAAACTGCTGAGTGCATCCCCTGACGTGGTGATTGCATTTGTCAGCTGTTGTACTTACTACAGTTATTCAGACTGTTGTTCGGGTCACAGAGAGAGCTACCACCACATGAATCAATGCAGGCAATGTAGAGGCATCTTCGGTCTCCTTCTTGACACGGAGTCTGACCTACAGAGGGAGGAAAAGGCACATTGGCTTTCATCATCTGCAAATTCCGTACCTAAGGATCTAAAGGATCAGGAATGTCTGGTGGAATTGAGGAATAACACAACTTTAATTTCCTTCCAATTTCTCCAAAAGTATTGAACATACGTTGAATAGGTGCTTTCTGGTAACTAAATACAATCCAGGTGTTCCAAAATAGGAATGAAGAAATAAGAGACAAATTACACTACAAACAGGTTGTTGCATTTAATGGAAAAAAAATAGTACTTTCGTTTTACATGGGTGCCAACACTTGATTACAAAATAAACTTCAAGAGATTTGAGGGAGGGAGAACGTTATAAAAATCTTGAAATTCTGAATATTAATTGACATTTGTTTAAGACTCATTTGCTCCCAATTCTAGTCTCCCTCTAAGTAAAATGCTTTCTCTAGTAGTAAGTAGGGCATCAACACCAATACAATAAGGATACTTTATCATAATACAAGTGTTATGCAGCTGTTACTCATATTTTCAATATGTCCTAGGAAAGTGTCATCAGCCTAGCTGTGATGACTTGAGAACTGAGTTTCTTGTTTCTAAGTGAATGACAGCAGTAATATCAATGTTTGCCCTAATGATTTTTCCTTAAGGTAGGTAGAGAGGAAACTGCTTTTCCCATTGATTTCCTGGTCATTTGTAGATTAAATGTGGAAGGTAATAAATTACTGTCCATTCTGTCTCTCCCCCATTATGATCAATTACCTTCAGGCATGTCATCTGGAATCTAGACAACCTTGCAAGGCACTTTTAAGTATAAATAATAGCATATGTGTATATATAATCATTCTTATCTATAATTCTAAGACAATGTTTCTTACACTGGAATATTTATCCTTTCCAGTACCACTAGTATGCAAAATCATATACCACAGCCTTGCAGAAAAGAGATGTCACTCTCTTTTTAATGTCATCAGGGTCAAAATTTTTTCTCAAAGCAAATCTAAACAATTTCTGTAAATTTAGGCTCTTAAGGAGATTTTATTGACATCATGCATTCATTATTTTGGGAAATATTAAGTGCCTGCCACGTGACAATCTATGTGACCAGCTAGGCACTAAGCATTAAAAGACAAAATGGCATGATACCTCCTTGGAAGTGACTTGTGCTCTGATAAGAGGTATGATCCTGAACAAAACCTTCTGATGCTGTGTGATCACTGCTTTATGGAAGACATATTTATTTTTATTTATTTTTTTCATAGAGATGGGGGTCTCGTTATATTGCCCAGGCTAGCCTCAAACTCCTGGTCTCAAGTAATTCTCCTGCCTCGGCCACCCAAAGTGTTGGGATTATAGGCATGTGCTACCACGCCCAGCTAAAATACATTTAAAGAGCAATAGAAGTCAATGAGACCAGTGTGGGGAAGTTTCTCAAAGGACTTTTCCAAGTCATGATAAGAGGAAAGGATGGGTTTCCCAAAGCGAGAAACACCACATGCAAAAGGCCTAGAATATGGAGGTGCACAGGTCAAAGTAACTGGAGCTTCAACCACTGAGAAAGGGGGTGAGAGAGATGAGAAAGGTAGGCAGGGACAGAGCCTGAAGAGTTTCAAAGGCCTAACTCTTCAGCAGGACCCAAAGTTTCAGGAGAAGCAGCCCCTCCTTCCCTTCCCAGCCCTATCTAGAGAACAAGCCTGCAACCCATGCTGACAATTACATAGTATTTAGTACCAGGCCCCCTTTCGTTCTCAGCTCTCTAATCACAATAGTCTGCCTTCTCTCATGGTCCTCCTACACATGCCTAGCACCTTCCCACCCCAGGAATTTTGGTCAACCGATGCCTTGTGTCTCAGTTGCTTTTTCAAGCCCCATTCCTCTTGGTTAACCCCACTCATCTTTCAGGTCTGAGCTCCCGGATCTCTTCCTCAGTGAATTTTTGTCTGAGGTGCTTTACCAGGGCATGCCCACTATTAATGGCATCCAAGCACCCTGAATTTCCCTTCTTAGCCTCTGTTGCTGCACGGCTAGACACTGACCTGCATAATAATTCGTAGCATGCCTATGTTCCCCAGGAGTCTGCAAGCCCCATCAGCTGTTTTGCTTGCCACTGAATTCCCAGGGGATGGCCACACATAAACACCACAATATACATTTTTTAAGTTGAATTAATTAAACAATATAAAGCTACTAAAATTTTACTTTTAAATCTATTTTATCATATGACTTTCTTACATCTCACACATGTAAGGAAATAATCTACAAAGTCTGCCATTTCATCATGAAAAATCCAAAATTATTTCAGAGTTGAATTATACAGAAAGGAAGAAGAGTTTGATGCAAAGGGAAGTGCTCAGTTGATACGCACACAATAAATTACGTTTAATAAAGGTATTCCTTCTGAATTTAAAAACTGGTAAAACAAACGCTCTTTATATATTATTTTTATGTAATAAGTCTGTGATTGAAAAGCTCTCCCTTTAGATCTTGGGCACTTTTCCATTAAAGTTATTCTAATGATCAATACGCATTATGACAAAACTAATTTACCGATAGGTGACCAGTCTCATTGGCTGATTATGAATATACACAGCACAAGATATGCTTTAATGTAATAGCCATGTAATAAAAGCTCACATATATTGAGTTTTCACCATGTGCCACCACTATGAAGTAGTTATCACTATTCTGAGTGTACAGACACACAAACCAAGACCTATACGGGTTTTAAGTATCTTGCCAAAAATCACCATAGTAGACCGAGGCTTGATCCTGGGTATCAGGGCTGCAACAACCATGTACTTAACAACTAGGCTGTGCCTGTGTAGTATACACAAATGTGATTTTTGAGTCTAGGGATATTCTTACCCAGCCCCTACTGAGAAGCTTCCACACATATTAGAGCTTAAAACAATCTGTGTAGAACTTTCTTTTCTGATAGACATAAATTACATTTAAAAAACAATTTATTGGACCTACTTTTTCTTTTTGAGATTCACACACAGATATCAAATCCTTTTAAAGTGTATTGCTTGGTAATAAGAGGCATTAAACTGCTTCTCTGAACATGATTACTTTAGGAAGCCATTGCATTTCCTTTCAGAAGCCAATTTCTTCTCACCGGAATCTAATCTGATTTAATTGGATGCTATACACTAAACTTCTCTCTTTATCACGGCTTTTCCCATAGAACAGTTAAGTGAATTTGACCATGCTGTCAGGTGTCTCACCTGAGGAATGATTTTCAGTGTAAGTTGCTTGAGAATTATGTTTAGCACAAGAAAGCATTTCCTGGCTGACTAGGCTGTGAGAACCACTGTGTTAGGCAATCTGGGATTATTTACATGGGAATCCTACTTAAGCAACTTCAAATATTTTTCTTTGTTCCCAAGCAGAGGACCACGAGTAAAAGAATGTTCTGGGGTGGTGGGACACACTTACTGCCACTGCAGTTCTCCTCATCACTCCCATCCTTGCAGTCCTCGTCGCCATCACATTGAAATGTGCTGGGGATACATTGTCCATTTCTGCATTCCACCAGACCCTGGCTGTGACAGGCTAGGAAGGGTCAGAACAATATTCACTTTATTTATTAATTCTTCTCTCTCAATCTGCACATCAAATAAACAATAGCCATTTACCAGGCATCGCTAAGAAACAGGGTGTTCTGCATACACAAATGAACATATCATTGATTTTATTTCTAGAATTTTTCCTGCCTCATTGAACAGCACTTACCAAAAATTAACTTTTTCTTGAGAACTGCGTGATTGTTTTCAGTGATGGAAGTACCATGATCCTACTTACTAATAAAAACGACAATTTGTAAAGGGTTCATTATATGGCAAGAGCTGTGCTAACTGCACTGTGTATATAATCTCAAATTCTCACATAAATCTTGTAAAGTAGATATTATCATCTTCGTTTTACAGATGAGAAACTAAAGTTTACAGAGCATAGTACTTGCTCAAAGTCCCATGACTAAGAGCTACAGCCAGAATGTGAGGGCAAGCTCTTTGGACTCCCAGTCCAAATATTTCATTATTTATCTACTTAACCTCATAAGCCAACAAAATAGTATATGGGAAAGAACTCGCATAGTAACTAACACCTAATAAACACTTCAACACTTGTTTATGACAACTGATATTTGAAAGGGATGGCCTAATATCCATTAACCTTCCAATTCCTATGGGTTTTCTAAAGTCTATACCTATTGTCTTTTAGAGTATCGGAAACCTGTGGATCATATGACCTTAGCCTTCACTGACTTACTAATATTATGACCTCTCTTTTCTTGAGTCAAGGCTCCACACCAGAAGTGTTCTATCTGAGCACCACATCCTTGCTTCTCCAAGATCTAGTGAGATACAGTCCACTCTGTTCCACTGTGTCCACTAAGCAAGGACTCGGAGGACATTCCACTTCAAATCCATTTTAGGGAAGAGGAGAGCCACACATTTTGACTTTTTATATGACTTTTCTTATGTCAAAATAAAAAATATGTAATCCACATTTCTATTTTTGCCTCAAATTATAAGCCAATTAAATATTCAATCTTATATATAAAATCAACTTTCTTAACTTTTACTAGACACAAAAAGATGAAATGAAAAGTATAATTAAATATGCAAAAGAACATATCACATTGACTCTTTCAGGTCAACTGCATTCTCTCTTAACACCTGACAGCTTCTATTCAATCGTGTATATTATTCTCTAATGGGTATATAATATTTTCTAGGGGGAAAAAGTGTTAATAACCATACTTGTTATTAGTTTGAAGTATAACAACTGTCTGAAGATTTTCATTCACTAAGAAACACAACAGTCTATAAATTTATATTATCACTACGTTCTCTCTCTGTCTCTTTTTTTTTTTTTTATTTTAAGATGGAGTTTCACTCTGTCACCCAGGCTGGAGGGCAATGGCTTGATCTTGGCTCACTGTAATCTACACCTCCCTGGTTCAAGCGATTCTCCTGCCTCAGCCTCCTGAGTAGCTGGGACTACAGGCACCTGCCACCACGCCCAGCTAATTTTTGTATTTTTAGTAGAGACTGTTGGCCAGGTTGGTCTTGAACTCCTGACCTCAGGTGATTTACCCACCTCTGCCTCCCGAAGTGCTGAGACTACAGGCGTGAGCCACCATGCCCGGCCTATTATGCTCTCTCTGTGTATCATCATATGAACATTAAAGTCTCTCTTCTCTCTGGTGATTCTTTCCATGCTCTTCCACAAAAGGCCCCTGAGAACATGTTAGGGCACTCCTGCAGGGAAGCTTAACTACTCATATATTGTGTGCAGAAGAAAGGTCCCCCATTCTGTGGGCAGAGCATCACCTTTGACAAAGTCACAGAAGCACAAAAGAGACATATGGAGCAATGAGAGAGAAAACAGACACCCACTTGGCTAGATCAGCCAAATGAAGCTTGGAGTTTTGCGGGGAGAGGTGTGGAAGTCAGATACACTCCATTGCTATTGTCATCCCACCACTCGGTGATCTTTACAGGCAAAACCAAAGTATAAGAATCTTTCCCTTGGATTGCTGTGTATATAGTGAGTCTTAAGTACAGTCCTCAACCTTGAGTACAGCCTAGAGAACCAGAAATGGAAAAATAAGCAAAACAAACGTCCTCAGAGCACTCACAGCAGTTGACCTCGTCGGACTTATCCACACAGTCATGGTCACCATCACACACCCACTCCATGGCAATGCAACGCCCATCCCCGCAGCGATGCTCTGTTGTGGGATTGCAATCTGGAGAAATGAAAACTCACGAGGATGCAGAGAACCAGGGTGACAAACAGGCAGGATTGTATGGCTCCCGGTTCCCATTGAAGAGAGTCTGCTCCAATGGCTCCAATACCTTCAATAACATTTCTACAATAGGTCTGGCCCAATTAAAATTCCACGCCCTCCCCACGCATATGCCCCACTGACCACCATCACCGTGGGGTAAGATGGGTCTGCTTTTCAGATGAGTAACACTACTCTAGCTGTCCCAGGACCCATAGTTTGTTCTTATTGTTGTTGGCTTTTGTTTTCTTTAGTTGTCATTTTCTTTCCTTATGAAAAATTCATGATTTCTACCTTGGTTCAAAAAGCAGAACTGTGATTTGTGTTTCACAATGCAGCTAGCGGATTTCATGTATATGTAACAGCTCTCTCACGTTTCTAGGAATTATAACTTACCTGTCTGGTAAATTGGGAAGGCAGGTATCTCCTTGTCATCTCTCCTGATGCTAAGCTTAAGTTTTTAATTGATTATCTTTTTTTTGAGACAGGGTCTCTCTCTGTCTCCCAGGCTGGAATGCAGTGGTATGATCATAGCTCACTGCAGCCTTGACTTCCTAGGATCAGGTGATCCTCCCATCCCAGCCTCCCATGTAGTTGGGACTACAAGGACATGCCAGCATGCCTGGCCTTATATCCAAAAGAACTGCTAAGTAAGCCATGCAAAATATTGATGTTATATTCATGATTCTTTTTAGCCTGGACTTCAATTTTATATATTAGTGAAAAAGAACTAAGTGATAAGTTCCCTCTCACAAAGGGCAGAATCCATAGGATGCTTTGCCATGAGAGGTGGTATACCCTGAATATAAGCAGAGTTTTAGAAGATGTATGTGGATTCACGAATAATAGATTCCATGAGAAAGTATGATAAGTCTAGTAACAGTGCCATGGTCATAGACAGACTTCTGGAGTGACCATGGATCTTAAAGGGTATTTTGGATCAATAGAGGAAAGTATAGGGAGGACATAAGTTTGAGAAAAGAAGAAAAGCACAAGAGGTGCTTGGGCAGGAACCAGAAGAGCAGAGGGAGCCAGGGCAGAGGCCGGTCTGAAGGAAAGTGATAATTATTGCTGTTAGATGGAGACAACCGGCGTCCGAACACACAAACTTCACGACAGCCTGCTATCTTCAGAGGAATTATGTTGCCTGTTAAGACCATTTTTTCTCACATGCTACCTGCAAGCTGGCCCTCTCCACTAACCTATCCAACTACCAAACGACACTCACTCATTTTCAATGCCCTGCATTTTCCTAATTATCTCACTGGTAAAGGGAAGGGTTGAATCTGATGATCTCTCAGGCCTCCTACAAGTGTAATTTCTGTGATCTATATAATTACAATTTCCTCTCATCCTTTGTCTCAAGACTAGCTAGTCCCAGGATATATCCCACATCTGAATGTAAATTAGTACAGTCATTATGGAAAACAGTATGGAGGTTCTTGAGAAAACTACAAATAGAACTTCCATATGACCCAGGAATCCCACTCCTGGGCATATATCCAAAGGAAAGGAAATCAGTATATCAAACAGACACCTGCAACCCCATGTTCATTGCAGCACTACTCACAATAACCATGATATGGAATCAATTTGTGCCATCAAAAAATGAGTGGAGAAGAAAATATGGTACATCTACACAATGCAATACTATTCAGCCATGGCAAAAGAATAAAATCCTGTTATTTGTAGCAACATGGATGAGCCTGGAGGACATTATGTTAAGTGAAATAAGTCAGGCATAGAAACAGAAATACCGTGTGCCCTCACTCATATGCAGAGTTGATCTCATAGAAATAGAGAGTAGAACAGTGGTTACTAGAGGCCATAAGGGTATGGAGGAGGAGGGGTAAAGAGAGATTGCCGCCAGGTGTGGTGGCTCAGGTCTATAATCCCAGCACTTTGGGAGGCCAAGGCAAGCGAATCACGAGCTCAGGAGTTAGAGACCAGCCTGACCAACATGATGAAATCCATTCTCTACTAAAAATACAAAAATCAGCCGGGCGTGGTGGCACGCACATGTAGTCCCAGCTACTCAGGAGGCTGAGGCAGCAGAATCACTTGAACCCAGGAGGCGGAGGTTGCAGTGAGCCGAGATAGCACCACTGCACTCCAGTCTGGGTGATGGAGCAAGACTCCATCGCAAAAAGAGAGAGATTGCTTAACTGACACAAAATTACAGCTAGATAGGAGGAACAGGTTATAGGTTTTTATAGCACTAGATGGTGACTATAGTTAATGATAATTTATTGCATATTTTCAAATAGCTAAATGAGAAGATTTTGAATGCTCCTAATACAAAGAAATGATAAATGTTTGAGGTGATGGATATGCTAATTACCCTGATATGATCATTATACATTGTATACATGTATTAAAATATCATGCTGTATTCAATAAATACGTACAACTATTATTAGTCAAAATAAAATAAAAATAAAATATTATCAGAAAAAAACAATAATCCACATCTATCTAGTCACACAGGAATGGTTTGTACACACACGTTTTAAAATATTTTTACAGATACAGCAAGTGGCTGTGAGATGGTGCCCCTAGAAACCACCAGGTTTCCTAGAATGGGATTATTCCTAACAGTCATGATTCTAATGCCTTCCTCTGACCACATCCCTGATCCTTTCTAAACATTCATTTTGATGTTTTCTAATGCTGGACATTGTCTCATATCATTTGTCCAGGGTGTATCCTCATCCCCATTTGCCCTTTTGTTCATGTTGCAAAGTTCCTGCGTCACTCAATAATATGCTACCTAAATATTCTGAACCTAGTCACAAAGCCAAAAAGGTAAATGAGCAAGAGGAATTTTGCTGATTTTAATTCATGAGATGGCATTCAGAATTGAACATGACTCTTTTAAAAGTGAGTTTATTCTTTAAAAGATAAGATCAGCATGTGTACACAAAACAAATGCATCATCCTAACGCTGGGTAGCTGCTGCATAGGTGGTCCTTGTACTATTTGGGGATTAAATAGAGGAGGGGACTTCGGTCACATGTACTAAGGGAATCAGGCACAGACAATATAGCTACCCTCAAAGTTTGCTCAAAAGGCCAAAATCTAACATAAGCCACTGGCTCTAACCAGAAGAGAAACAGAACACATTTGAGGAGAGGAAAAAAACTATTAATGCATTAACAACCTTTACCAGTCTTCCCATTCCACTTCTTAAACATTTTCTTAATATGATTATTTATGTATTACATTTACATGTAAGACATTACTGAGGACAGTGATTGAACAAACTTCTTCCTTCTAAAACACAAGAAACCAATCATTTTGTAATTTTAACTGCTAATCATATTAACACATAATGAACTCTAAGTTTCTGGTCAAAAATTTCTGTGATTTTTAAATTAAAACCTTTGGGGAAACAATGCTACTTACCACAGTTTTGCTCATCGCTCAAATCCCCACAGTCATCATATCCATCACACACAAGGCTGTAATTAAGGCACTTGCCTGTGTGACAGTGAAACAGATTCTCACTGCAGTCTGCAAATAAAAGAAGCCACCAATGTGTCATCAGAGCCATATAGAATGCTACTGTAGTACAATATTTAACAAAAGCCAGTCATGGAAGGGACACCCTAATGGTAACCTGGCCCATACCTATTGTTTTATAGGTGAGAAGGTGGCACACAGAGATACAACAATCTGTTCAAGGCCATTTAAACAAGTGGCTCCCAAGCCAAGTGATTGTATCACTTTCTGATGTGTTTCTCTGACTTCCATTTTATGTCACCTGAATGATCCTTAATTGTTAAAGATGAGAAAAGGCATTCTCAATTCACCATCATTCCTAATGAAGTTCCTGTTCATGTAGAATAGACTTTAGTAACTCTTATGTTTTCTTTAGAGTTGAAAGTCTAGGTTTGTCAGTAGTAAGCATAAACATAACAAATAAAATAAGTCATTTAGATTATAGAGTTGTTATTTCCTTTCACATAAACATTACTGCTTAAGCCTATTGAGTGTTTCATAATGTAATCCTCAAATAAACAAGTACTGTCCAAAGACTACGGTGGCAAGATGAGAAGCGCTATGTAATCTCAGGACGTTCATAGTTTAATGTTGAAATGAACAACGTTCAGGGGAAATGGTTTCCTGATTTTAATAAGAAAACAGTCTTATCCTTCAGTAAACCAGAACTCCTATCCTGGTTCTGCCATCTACTAGCTGTGGGACTTTTAGTGTGTTATTGTTAATTCAAGTCTAGGAGTCTGTGAACTGATCTATGAAACTGGGACAAAATCAGCCACTTACCAGGGTTTGAAAGAGGAGAGTTTCATGAAACAGTGTGTGAAAGGCAATTCGATGGAAAGAGAATGTTCTTTTCAAAAAATGGTATTGGGATAATACTAGAAAAATATTTACAAATTATATATATATGTGATAAAGAAATTTGGATATCTGGAGTCTCTAAAGAACTCTTACATTCAATAATAAGATGAAAAATAATTCAATTACAAATGGTCAAAAGACTTGAATAGAAAGTCTTCATGAAAGACATAAAAACACATGAAAAGGTGCTTAACATTATTAGTCATTAAACAAAGGCAGTGGGGGGTGAGAGGGCAGGGCAAAACAAAAGAAAAAAAAATAAGCTAAGGCAAATTAAAACTACAAGAAGATATAACTACACATCCCTTAAAATGGCTACAATGGAAAAGACGGACAATAGCAAGCATTGGCAAGGATTTTGAGAAAATGAATCTCATGGATCTCTGGTGAGACTATAAAATAATAATGCCACCTTGGAAAACTGGCAGTTTCTAATGAAGGTAACTGCAACCTTACCATACAATTAATTTGTGAATTCCACTCTTAGGAATCTACCCAAGATAAATTAAACATATATCCACACAAAGATTTATATATAGATGTTCATAGCAGCATTATTCATAAGCCAAAAACTGGAAAAAATCCAAGTACTCTCTAACTGGAATGGACAAACAAAATGTAATATGCAGTGAAATACTACTCAGTGATTAAAAGGATGAAACTACCAATATATGTGACAGTATGGATGAACCCCAAAAAGTTATGCTATGTGAAAGAAATCAGATACAAAAATTACATATTATATGACTCGTTTATGGAATTCCCAGAAAAAAACAAATTTATATAAACAGAAGTCTGAGATGTAGTTACAGTAGCTGAAGGATTAGACTTGATTCCACTACAAATGTGTGGGAGAGAAATTTTGTGAGAGATGCAAACATTCTAGACTGTATTGTGAGGTTGGTCGCATAACTCTATAAGTTTACAAAAATCAATAGATGAAATTTATAAGATGTAAATTATACCTCAGTAAAGCTGTAAAAATGTTTAAAATCAATATATGTAAAGAAATCTGCATTTCACAGAAACTAGATTTCTTAAATATATTTTTATTTCCCTTATTTAAAGTAAATTAAGTACAAAACAGCTTGCTTAAGGCTGGAAAAGGAATACAGAAAATGGGCAGAATTTCAGCAGGGTGGATGTAATGAAAAGTTTAGCATATTTCAAACAGAGAAAATAGCAAAAACAAAGGAAAGAGGAAAAAAAAAAAATTTGAAGATCAGTCTACTTGGCTGATGAAGGCCAGAAATCAAGTAGTCAATGGTTCAATCGCCTGAATTCCAGCTGATTGTTTCTCCTCAAGCAGAAGCTTGTATCTCATACAACCAGTAGCAGCCACCACTTTACTGTAAACATCTTACACTAGATGACGATTCATTATGCAAAGCCTTTGGCGATCAGTTAAAACATTAGGTATGCCAAAATATGACACTCACATATACATGAATCATAAATTTCTGTTTCAAAAAGGCACTCTTCTAAAAAAAAAAACTGCTTAAAGTTTTTAGAATCACACCATTTTAGGAATGGAATGGGCCTTAGAAATCACCTGTTCAGTGTCTTCATTTGGAAGGTGTGTATGTGCACAGACACACACACGCATATATACATATAAGTCCACACTTACACACATACAGAACTTTGTAAGTACTTTTTATTTTTCACTTCCCCCAGCCTGAATAATTTTCAAATAAGGACAGCCACCATAAGGGAAAATATAAGAACTAAGAAGTTCTAGCTATCACTTTGACAATGGTATTTTATCCCATTCAGCAGAGGGCGCTATTTCCCCACCCTGAACCCCGCTGCTGAATGAGGCTACCACACATGTGACAGCTGCGTGGAAAGGTTATGACATTGGTTGTCCTGCCCACAGGACAGACCTGGGGAATTTGTGCATCAAGATATATACATTACCTTGTGAAATTCTAAAAGATCTTTTTTATTTTTTTTTTTGTCTTAATCTAAATTACCCTTGTGGGAAGTTTTGAGTCAACATGCTAGAATCAGCGATAGCCAGAGAAATAAGGCTTCTCAACTTGACCATCAGTGCAAAGTACATGCATGCATTCGCCCAGAGGATGGGGAACAGTGTTTCAGCACATTTTAAACCCTACAAGTTAACTTATTTGTAAGCAGTACACTCACTTTTTTTGATGGCAGGACAACTGGGGAATGAAATACCCCTTTCAGAATCTGATTAACCTAAGAACACATCAAAAATTCCAAAAGTTTCTTTGTCTTCTATGAGACCCATTCTAGGACCCCTGGTAATTCATACTAAAACACTGCATTAGAGATATTTTAAAAATTGATGTCCTTATTTATTAAATTACTTCATAAATGGAGAGGACTCAGGAATTTTTTAAAATCCTCATTGTTCTCCCTGGTGCGGATTCAACTTTCTACTGTTATAACTTGCTTGGTTAGAAACCATTTTTAGAAGTGAGATACAAAATGAGCTGCATTTGGAAAACAATCTGTAATCTGTTACTTCCCTAAGGTCTGTGTGATTAGTAAACACGCAAAACCTTAACCAGAGGCACTGCAAAGCCAGAAATACATAGCAAATAGCAAAGATCACAGTGTCTCCTTTTATTGAAATAAATGTTTATTTGACCTGGAAAGAGGTGTTGTCAGCACAATTTGGGGCCAGCAAATCAAAATTTGCAAAAGTGCTTGCTGTGATTTTCTTGCTCAATAACAAGCATAATTTTGCATGACCTAAGGTAGATGTTTTTTTAGATACAGCTTTTTTTTTCTTAAGGAGAGCTTGATACAAAATGTTTCTTCTGAAATTCGTGCATGTTAATACTGACTTCAGTTTGACATCTTATATGGCACACTATTAATTCTTGTCTCTCAAAATTATCATTAAATTAAAGCAGAAAACTAACACACAGAAAGCCTTTTTCTCAAGGGTTTCTCTCAACTGTACGGTCTCTATGACTATAAACATGAATGTGTTGCCTCAACTCAAGATGCAAGTACGGATGCTCAGTTTCCACCCACAGAAGATTAAATATGGAAAGAACCAGAGGTTATTTCATCCAACCCTCTCCTTCTGAAATGACCAGAGGAGTTACATGGTCTGTCCACTGCTGCTCAGCTCATTTACAGTAGAGCCACGAGAAGCACCAGGCTTCTCGACTCTCTGAGTTCTTTCTACTATTGGCTTCCACCTCTAGAAAAGGGTTTCTCCATGGCAGTATCATTGACATTTTGGACTGGGTAATTCTTTGTTGTTGGGGGCTGCCCTGTGCAGTGCAGTTTGTTTAGCAGCATCTCTGGCCTCTACCCACTAGATGCCAGTAACACCTCCCTCCACTCCCACAGTTGTGACAATAAAAAAAAGTCTCCATGCATTGTAAAATGTCACCTAGAGAGTTGAAAATCATGTTGCACAGTATACAAACACCACCTGAGTGCAAAGCCTCACTTTAATCCCATCTTTTCCATCAGCTCTCTATGCAATCCAGCTTCTAGTTATCCTACTCTTTTTACTAGAAGGACTCCCTGCTGCAAGCTTTTTTTGTTTGCTTGTTTACATCAATTTTTTTTGACTTTGTGATATTGTGTGTGTTATATTGTTTTAAAATACCATATTTAGGCTGGGCACAGTGGCTCATGCCAGTAATCCTAGCACTTTGGGAGGCCGAGGTGGGCCGATCACTTTGAGCTCAGGAGTTCACAACAAGCCTGGGCAACATGGCAAAATCTTGTTTCTACAAAAAATACAAAAATTAGGCCTGGCGTGGTGGCTCACGCCTGTAGTTCCAGTTACTCAGAAGACTGAGGCTGGAGAATTGCTTGAGCTTGGGTAGTGGAGGCTGCAGAGAACCAAGATCACACCTCTGCACCCCAGCCTGGGCGACAGAGCGAGACTCCATCTCAAAAAAAATTTTTTTTTAAAGCGTATTTAATAGTTTCTATGTATATATGTTAGTTCCGTGATTAGACTAAAAGCCTCATAAAGAAAGAAACCATGTCTTAACAGTATCTTTCCATTTACTAGGTAGCTAAAACATGATTCACACATAGGAGGAATTAAAGAATATTCAATAGTTCGATTGATTCAGTATAATCAGATTGCCACTATACAAAAAGTAAAATTTCCAAACATTTAATACTTCTTCCATTAGCATAGAGTGAGATTTTTTTCTAATTTTGATGAAACTATTTCTAGCATTTACTTGCAGCTACATCTTAGTAGAAAGATTATTATAGATACAGTCATTTTGATGATTCAAACATCATTTGGAATATAATTTTTATGTTGTGCTGTTTATGCCGCCTCCATTCAAAAATAGCTTCACGTGGTGCTGCTTTTAAAATTGTTGTGCATATTTTAGTGTTTCTGTCTCCCTTACATGCATCAGCTGACATCATCAGCTGTCCCCATGACTTCCAGTGGTCATTCTCTGCACCTAGTAACAAGAGGTGCTGGGTGGGAGTGGAGGAACAATAAGATAACAACAGTGACAACAGTCATGACCACAAATCCCAGTGCTCTTTGAGACTTACTGCATGCAAGACATTAGTCTATATGCTTTATATTCAGTGAATCATTATTCTGAACAATTTGAGAGATATTCACTATTTATTGTTTCCATTGTACTACAGAAGTAACTGAGGCACAGAGAGGTTGAGTAACTTGCCTAAGTTATCAGAGGCAGGAAATGGTAAGCTCGAAACCTAAGCAGCTTGACTCAAGAACTTACAGTAGTCATTACTACACCGTATTACACTCAGTGTACAATTAGATAACCACCATCCTCAGAAATAAGTCAACCAATTTTACACAAAATTCACAGAAAATGATTTTGAAAAATATTTGATGGTGGTTTTTATGTGTCATAAAGTGTGTGAACTTTGTGGCAGCTATTTCACTGTGACAACTTGAGTTTGCAATTTAAAATTAAGAAGTATTCATCTACTAAGCACTTGCTATGTCCCAGGCGCTATTCTAGGAGCTTGTTGTAGACTCAAAAGATTATAGAATCTTAACAACAAAAGAGACACCAAGCACCTTCTAGCCCAGTGCTTCCAAGTCTGGCTGTCTGTTAGAATTACCTGGAGAGCGTTACAAAAGTATTGCTGCCTGGTCCCCACTGCAGACAAACTGAATCAAAATCTCTGCAGGTAGGGTTTCCTGGGGAGGCCAGCATGCAGCCATCCATGATGATACCGAAAGCCAGGGTTACAGAAACGGCCTGCCTAAAGCCACAGAGATAGACATTTCTAAAATTTTCCTGATTTTTGAAAATTTTTCTGCTACACCATTAAAATTGTTTCAGTGTTTGGAAATCTTTTCATTCAACAAATACTTAAGAAGAGATTGACAAGACAAAACCAGTTAGGGGAGAAAGTCAGTAAGTAGTCATAGATACCTGGAGTGCTCTTTAATAAACGATTACCTCTGAAAGCTGTAACACATCAAAATCACTTAAAACATTTTCCTGCAATATAAATGATCAGAGCATAATCTCACTAAATCTGAACTTTTTTATGGACAAGGACAAGTCAAAGGCAGACCAGGGGAAAGAAAAAGCATTAGATTTTGAACCATTTAAGACTGGGTTTCACATTTAGCGAACCATGGGCAAATGTATTCATTGCCCTAAGCTCTATCTCTGCACCTGTACAAAGGGGGTAGATAACACTTCCTCTGCTGATAATTAAATCGAAGCATGTAGGTAAACGCTTCTAGCATAGTTTATTAGGTAACTCACAAATAATAAGTTTCTTCTCTCCTTTCCTTTGAACCTGACTAAAAAGGAAATTAACAACTCAATGAACTACACAAGCCACCTAATATGACCCATGTTTTATAAAAGCAGGCAAGTGCTTAGTAGAGATCATTTTTCCATCTAATCCATAGAAGCATAATCTCCTCTGGCAGTCCTCTTTCTTGCCTACCTGCGAGAACCCTAGGAAGTAGGCATTTTCTTCTGCTCCTCATTGAGAACACATAGCAAAACTTCCTTCTCCTCTCGTGAGTATCTGTGGGTTGCATTCACACTCTGATTCACATCCAAGGCCTAATTCAGACTTATACTATTCCTTCACCACAGGGTAGTGACAACAGGAGTATGGCACCCTCCATAAACACTCATGCTGAAACACCACAAGCACTTAACCTTAAAGCTCAAAAGCAGATGTCCTTGTAAGGTCAAAAACAATTGCATATGAAGCCTTCGATGCCTGTGTTTTCATACAGAAGTTTTCTGAAGGGATGTATTTCCTCAATGGACCAAACAGATCATTTTTGTGGTATGTTCATGGGAAAGGGCCATATCTATTTTCCTTAATAAATGTTTCAGCCCCTTGGACATTGGTAAATGCCTTGCAGAACAGTAACACATTGTTGACTAGGAAAATTAACCCCTTCAAATTTAATTTTAACAAATGCAGCAGAAATCACTTACAGGGTTTGGAGTGCAATGCTCAGTACAATTGAGGAACATATGATAAAACAATAGTTGGCCCACCACAGGAGATACAGGCACATGCATAATTTGAACAATGTCATAACATGGGCCACAATGGGAGAATAGCTAGAGATTCTACCAAATCCCATAAATTGGATATAATTACGTTGAATTATTTAAAGATCCCTATTTTGGCTGCTTTGCACAGTATCTTCTGCTAAGCCCAAAGCAGCACTTCCCAGTGTAAATATACAGCCTATAAAAATGTTTTTTATGTAAAATTGTGTGCCATGCGTTGTTTTGAAAAGAAAATTCCAAGTTGTAAAACACAAATGTCTTACTGAAAAGAACGTTTCCTGAAATATGCGTGGCATAACTAAAGTTCCATGGGATACTAGATATTAGGCAGAATAAAAAATGCATGAATAAATGAACAAATAAAGGTGAGGATTCACATGAGAGAATAATTCTGATGAAATACAAAGTTAGGCAAACATATTTTTTTTAAACTGCAGGATTTCTCAGAACCTCTACTATACAAATGTGTATTCTAACCCTCTAAGAAGTAGATCTGATAGAGAGTATTTCCCAAAGTTATTTTTTTTTCAAGCATTATTCCAGACTCAGATACCATATGGAACACCAGTTTGGGAAACACTGACCTGAAATGTTACCATGATAAACTGCCATTCAGTAGTTCTGCCATTCAACAGGACAAAGGAGCGTCCATCCTAGCCCATCAGAGGAAAGATGAGTTGGTCCGTTTGGCAAACAGACCAAAAGAATTTTTCAATTAAGATCAGTATTCTCAAGCACTTACAACACCTTGGCAATTCCCATGAGGAGTGAAACACAGCTCTTGCCATACTAACTATGGCTGTTTATATAACCCTTAAAGAACAATTAGAACACTTGCATATAGTGTTCTAATTGCATATAGTTCTGTTTTGAATACAGATTACACAGTGTAATTATTTTCTTTTTTTAACATACTAGGGGTGAACAAATAGGACACCAGCTTTGTTTACTACAATGTACTTCTTCAGGATGGTTTTCCCCTTCTTTCCAGTTTGTAACTGCAAAACAACTTGAAATCTGAATCTATATTGGACAAACCGCTGGCCAATTAAGTCAAAATGACCAATCAATGGGGAATAAATTGAGGACACATAAGGTGGAATCTACTGATTAGTGGATTTTAAACAGTTAGTGCCATTGACTATCTCCAGGTTTAGAAGAAGCATTAAAAAAAAAAAAAAAAAAAAAAAACGTGAGCTGAGATCCGACCACTGCACTCCAGCCTGGGTGACAGAGCGAGACTCCGTCTCAAAAAAAAAAAAACAAAAAAACAAAACAAGAGGCTTTGTATTTACTGTGTCAGGACAGTTAAAAATCATTAGGGTGAAAACATTGTCATAAAAATATCCTTTTTTAAAAAACATTGACCTTCATACTCATAAACAAAAATGAAAATTCTAACCCAAACAAAATAAACCAAAGCCTTCTCCCAATTTAAACCACTTTGTGAAAAATGCTGCAATCCCTCATCTGTTCCAATGCAGCGTCTACCTGTTGAGTTCCTAATAAACCATGCCTTTGAAAGGTGTGCAAACATGCTGCTGTCATTCTGGGGGAAGATAAACATGTTTGCTCACTTTAGAAAGACAAACCAAAAACAGTCTACGCAAATGCCAATGATGGTCAGGATTTGAGAATCCCTGTCCACTCAGACAAACCCCAAACAGCTTGTCACATACTGCAGTGAGCCTCGTCACTCCAGTCGTCACAGTCGTTGTAGCCATTACATTGCAGTTTCCTGGGGATGCAGATTCCACTGGCACACAGAAAGTTCTCACCCCCTCCACAGAGCACTAAAAAAAAAAAGGGCAGGAAATAATGTCAGAATAAGATTTTTTTTTTAATTTTAAGATTACAAAAGATAAATACATAGAAAATCTTCTTTTGCTGTTCAACAGATTTGTTTCCAAATTCCCTCAGTTTTATTGTCACCAATTTTTCTTTGGCATCCTAGCACATTAACTGGAAAATTACCTGGAAATCATACAGAGAGTGCTTGCTTGTATGAGGAAAGCAGGAGATAGTTCACTGGTGGGCTTGCAGAGTGAGGCATCCATGTTCAGAGAGTAAGAGGGTAGCTTCATCAATTGCACAATTTATGTGGGGAGAATACCCAATGGGTGTATTTTTCTAAATAATTGAAAATTATGTCAAAGTACAGTGCTACTAATTGAACAACATTTAAAAACTCTACCTCTCTTAAAAGCTACTCTATGTGTCACAGAGAAAGTTCCAGTAAAAACAGAGTCAGTAAATGGATGTGTGTTTGAACATAGCATAGAGACCGGGTGCCCTGTATTTGAAACGTATTTACTTACCTTAATGAAAATGCCAGTTAAAATGTCAGCTTCTATTTTCGCATAAGGGATAGGAAATGGCATTCGCTAATAATATTTTCATTTCTTTTTACTTAACACACTTACATTTTTATATTTGCGCTTTTAAAATTTTGGTGTTCTTTTTCTTTTCAAAATGCAATAAATACTCCACTGCTTCAGAATTACAGTAGACAATAAATTTAAGACAAAAAGATAGAAAATTTTTCAGGAAGATCATTAATAAAAGGATAAATCAGCTCAACCAAGTGGATGTTAAGATAAAAAATATTTGGTAATGTGCATCAAATGCCTTTTAAGTGTGCATAATCTTTAACTCAGCAATCATCTTATTTCCCAGACTTCATAAAAAGGAAATCATTATGAATATGTGTTTTATGTTTAATAATGTTCAAACCATCATTGTTTAAAATGAGGAAACTATGAAATAACCACTATGCAATATTAAGCGGCTAGTTAAATAAATTTTGATACCACCGTAATGAGAAATACTATTACAGCCATTGAAAACTACATTTTAGAAAATACTTAATGTCCTAGGACAAAGTTCAAGCTACTTGAGATGAGAAAACACCAACTGGTCCTAGAAAACAAAATACAGTTTGGCATGGGGAGAGGTATATTATCTTCGGTATTAGGATTAAAGTAACTTTACTTTTTACTGTATTGTATTCTGTATTTTACAAATGTTCTTACAATGATGATGTTTTATCTTTTTAGCTGAGAAAAAAGTAACTTTTTTATGAGCTCCAGTTTCAGATAAGAAAAGTTAAGTAGAACCTTCAAAAATCTCCTTCTGTCTCTCTCTCCCCTTCCACCAAAGCTTTTGTGCGTGTGTGTGTGTGTGTGTGTGTGTGTCGGCTGTGTGGTGAGTTGCCTGGTCACTGCCACCATTCCCTGCAGTATGTATTCCTTGATAAGATGAACCTTGTTGACTAGTTACAGGGAATCCAGGAATATGGAACATTTTAACTCAGCAATAGAAACAGAGAAAAGTACAGGCTGAAAGCTCCAGTCAGTAAAGCCCATGTCTGTCATAGTTCCCATCATGTTCCTAGGACCCAGCGGAATGGTTGGCACTCAGGAGGTTCTCGATTAATATATTTCCAACCCATGTTCCTGGGACCCAGCCAGTGGCTGGCACTCAGGAGGTTCTCGATTCAATGGAAAAACTTACCTAAATCCTTAATAGAAGAATATATTGCCATAAAGCAGAAAAAAACAAAATTAACGAATTATTTCCCAATACTATCAAGAAAATCAGCATTTCAACTCATTGAACATTATGCATTAGTTGATCTGGTAAGTTTCTTATGATGCTACTTCATGTAACATTTTCACAATATCAACAACAAAAGCCCAATTTTCCATTATAGTCCATAATTTCAGTATCAATACAAATTACATCTATGGATTTCAACTGCCAAAATATTCAATATCTTTAGTATGGTGTCTGCACAGGAGTGCACTCCTATAGCTACAAATACAGACTCCTAAACGATTCGTAGAAAACCAGACATAAATGAAAAACCAAAATACTGAGATTTTACCCATCCAGTCTGTACAATATCCTCTCTCTAGGGTTAAGAGAAAGTTTGAAAGAAGTGTTTATCCTATTGTGAGATTGTTTCTGTATTATACTAGAGAGAGCAAAAATTCCATATGTCTGCATTTTAGCAGCTGCAATGCCTCACAAGAATTATTATTGCATTCCCCACCTATGGCTCCGATGATTCCTCAGGAAATGGAGCTGAAAGCTCAACATTCAATAGCTCCTAACCTCTAGATTTTAAGGCCCTACATATTTGACTCCAGTAAAGCCATTTCTTGCATAAGGTCATCTCAAATCTGGATCAAATTTAACACCCAGCACAGCTTGCACTGTTTTGATTATTGATATCCCCTGTCTTGGCTGATTCAGCAGAAACTGACTTCTTTTGTGTGGTTCCTTATCTGGAAGTGTGGCTGTCTTTGGTTTTAGGTTATCATAAATTGTTACTTTATTCTTGTTCTTTCTTTGAAAGTTCACAGTTTTGGTAGTTAATATTACTTTTATAAAACTAGAATAATTTTTGTATAATCTTTCTGTTTCATTTCTTCTTAACCTGTATTCAGAATTTTCACTTGTATAAAATGTTCAATTAATAAAGTACTACAAACATATTTTGTTTGGTAGTTTACAGATGAAGGAAATGAAGTGTCATGTGGTCGACATTGAAATGGACCAAAGCCGTATAATTAGGGGAAGATGAAAAACACCCCAAATCCCAAGCTAGGATCCAGGCCCAATCCTCCATGCCACACCCACTTCCTTGTTCCTGGTGCTTGTGCAATAGTGTAGTTGGCTGATACTCGGCCAGTTTAAGGGCACTAGATTTGAGTAAAACTTCAACATTGTCTTTATTTTTCTCTCTAAACAAAAGACAAATGTCTGTCTTGCAATGAATTGGATCCAGATGAGATGACATTCCAAGTCAGTTCTACTTTTTTTGAACACCCTGAGAGAGCTTTTATCAGGTTTCTGTAGAGATTTTTCTACCATAAATATCACTGTCTTATAACAATAATTTTCCAACAGGCTTTTGAGTGGCCCCTTAGGATGACAAAGGGAGATTTCCTGAGAAGTCATGCTATACAATCTTGAAACTATTTCCACTAACATCATCTATAATTCTAAGAGGTGTATGCTGGAATTTAAATCAATGGCAGATTGATAACTGGAACATTCATTCATTGATTGAATATATATTTACTGAGTGTCTACTATGTACAAAGTACTATTCTAGCCTCTGGTAATATAGCAGTGAAGAAAACAAACAAACAAAATCCCCAAATAGAGCATATATTCTACTGATCATCATCTGATGAAGATAATTTTACCAAGTAAAGATACTTCACTGCGAAAGCTGACTTCCACTACACATGTGACAGTTAATTAATACTGCTACAAAAATAGCAGTACATAAAGTTATATGGCCTAAAAAGCTAGTTTACATGTCCAGATGATAGGGACAATTATGGATCCCATGGACTTCAGAATGACACGGACCTTGAAGAATACATACCCAAAGGATGATCAGCTCTTTTCAGTATTCTTGTCTCTGACAACGGACTGCTAAAATAATAATCCCTAGCCTGAAATCACCCTGAGATTTTCTGCAGCTGCTTCCAGCTTCCTAGGCTCTCTCTGTCTGTGTATCAATATTATTGGCAAATGCTGTCATTATTCTGTTTGTTAACTTTTAGAGTCCTTTTCAAAAATTACTCACCAGCCTGCCACTGACTGTATGTTGCTCTTACTTGCCCTGTCTTTGAGCCCTTGCTGAAAGTCAAAAGCTCAGCTTCAACTCCCCCTCGGAGGAGAAAGCTGACCCAGCTCTGCACATCACGTGGGCCTGTGCTGAGAGCCTGTCAGCGCTGCGTTCTCCATGCTGCTCGAAATCAAGTACTATAAACCACTATTGCCCTTACCTTTTACAAGGTTATGTCATTCGATGAAAAAGACTGAACGTAATCTTTCAGCTGCTGATACAAGAATACTTCTTGGGGAGAGCACTGTATCTTTGGGCACAACAGATTGGTAAAATGATTGGCGTAAAAGACAAGAGGTGAGAGAGGAGAGAGAAAATCTAAGAGTGTGTTCAACCAACCCAACATGGACTTTACCCTGCCTTCTGAGGAGGTGAGTCATATTAGGTGGAAGGCCCTTCATTTGGCTGAAATTAAGATATTTCGGTAGGTATGGATGAGGGTCTGGAAGCTCTGAGTACAAAAGGAGTGAAGGGCCGGGTGCAGTGCCACATATCTGTAATCCCAGCACTTTGGGAGGCTGAGGCGGGCAGATTGCCTGAGGTCAGGGGTTCGAGACCAGCCTGGCCAACATGGTGAAACCCCATCTCTAATAAAAATACAAAAATTAGCTGGGCATAGAGACATGTACCTGTTATCTCAGCTACTCAGGAGGCGAGGCAGGAGAATCAATCACTTGAACTTCGGAGGTGGAGGTTGCAGTGAGCCGAGATCATGCCACTGCGCTCCAGCCCAGATGACAGAGGGAGACTCTGTCTCAAAATAAATAAATAAATAAATAAAAATAAAAAATAAGAACAGTGAGAATTCCCATGAGGAGGAAGAGGAGCTGGTGCCACTGGGCACTGTGCTGAGGGAGAGATAAATTTGAAAAGGTGGCTGAGTATCCATTAGAAGCACAGTATAGAGAAGACCCTTTGGAAAACAGAAATATCTAATGACATATTTTAAGTTATTTCCTGAGGAATTGGAGGTATAACACACGCCTTCCTCCATCTGCAAGGCTTGTGTTTCCCTCTGATTTATGCACTCATTTATTTAGCATTCTGTATTATTACAGAATAACTATTATTCTATATATTCTATAATAATTAATTATTATAGAACAATTAATACTATTCTGTATTATGTATTATTGAATACAGAAT